GATATTTTTAAAGAATAATTATTCTTAATAGAGTTTATATACACACTTATATCTCACTTACATTTTTTGGAAGTTTTTTCACTTGAGGTAATTTCTTTGTTGACAAACTTGTAACAGATATAATATTTAACTTATATTAAACCTAGGCACAATGAAAATATTTTACTTGATGTTAATTACTCTAAGACATGTCTATATTAGATAGGTCAACAAACAAACATTAATATCAGGTATTTAATACTGAATATTTCCAAGTTTACCTGAACCTGGAATTTATTGTTTAATTTAGAATTATTTGATTTGTAAGAACTGCTCCCTTCTGGAAACCAAGGACATTGCTCTTGGACAAACGTAAAAAAGGACTGAACACTGGTCTTTTTAACTTTAATTCCTCTGCGGTTAAGGAGTTGCGTTATGACTCCAATAAAAAGCTGCCTTTCTTTTGACTAACTGTTGCCCATTTTTGTTAGTAATTAGAAGAAGAAAAAGGAGAGGATCTTAATCTTAGAAAAGAAGGAAGCTGAAACCTACCCACCTTTTTACCCTAGCTTTCTTATGTAGAGGGGGCCTATAGCACCCTAGTGGGGTCTTACCTGAAATCTACCCAGCTATTGGGGTCCTACCTACCCTCCTTACCCTACCTGTCTTATGCAGGGGGGCCCGCAACACCCGGGTGGGGTCCTAGCCATTCCAAAAACTGGACAATGAGAGACTTACCTTTGGGTCCCTGTTCGGGTGCCACTTGCCAGGGCCTTTGCCCCAGCAGGATCCAGGAGTACCCTCAGGATGAATGGTGTCGGCGAGTGATAGAGAGAGAGAGAGAGAGAGAGAAACAGACAGACAGACCAGACCGGGGTGTGCAGCAGAGTCTGGCAGTGTTTTATTTTTCATTGTAGCCTTTATACCCTAAGTTGGTACATTTCTAAGGGGGAGATAAGCATACAGACTTAGTTTAACATTACATCAGCTTGTCCTTCACGAAACCAGGTGTTCTCTGTATATTTTTGTTTATGAGAGTCTTTTCCATAGACTATCTATCTTCTGGCCTGAGCTTAGCAGAAAACAGAAAAGTGGCGATCTCATGGTACAGCAGGTTGCAACCTCATGGTACAGCAGGTTGCAACATAGTAGAAATACAATCCTGTTAACACAAAGTCAGTCTTTTTGCAGAAGTTCTCAGCTAAATTTATCTAAAAAGTTTAGCACACAAAGACTCTGCAGCTCTGGTGAGGGAGTCCCTGTTTAGCACTCCTGGTTAAAATTAACAATTATCTTATTGTTTTTACACTAGGGCTAAACTCTTATTTTTCTGGATCTTTAACTATATTAACAATAGTTTCTACTGCACAACCTCAGCACATTAACAGCAATCAAACATTGATCCAATAACCACATTTAAAATAATATTTTTTGTGTTTTCTAATAGGGCTTCCTCACCCCACAAAGGGCTCTGTGCCTATTAGGGCCTTTTTTATGGATAATCTCTATGTATAATATCTTTTGACTTTCAGGCCTGTTGACAATTTATGGCTTGCACCTGGTGTAACTTTAAGCAACTTTAGTAGCCGACCCTGTCTTTTTTGTGGTTAATCTATTTTCTTTCTATTAGGTGTCATCTCCATGGGAACTATATAGGATTACATTTTTACAGAACAGAAATGCAAAGGATTGCAAAAACAGCAGATATAGCACAAAACAGGCTCTTAGTCTAAAAGTTAACTACCTGCAGGAAGTCACAAGCTAATCTCTATCTAAACTATTTTCTATTAGGCACATTTGTGGCTATTTTATTTGTGGAACCTTTCTCACCCCATGGAGGGACCTATGGTCAATGGTTTCTTTTGTTAGCGTACTGTGCTTAGGATGATTAGAACAATCATGAGCATTTTTTGCAATGAGAACACACATTTGTCAAACAAGCCAGAATGCCAGCAAAAGGGTTTGAATTGAAGCATTTCCTTCATCCCTGGCCCCTTCATAGGGTACCAGCATCCAGGAGATTTATTAGTTAGGGTTTTAAGTTGGTCCTCATTCAGTGAAAGAGGAGCAGGAGAGCTCTCAGTGGGCAACACAAGAATCCGCAGCAGGGCAAACAAGAACAACAGCAGAAAAGGGGGAAGGATACAGGGTGGGGTAGAGGCCGGGGCCAACCTGGAGGGTCCCTTGTATCCTGAACGGTCTTGCGTGTCAGGTCTTTTCCTCATGACCTCATCGTGGATGGGATCCTGAATGGCCTTGCGTGTCAGGTATTTTTTTCATGACCTCGTCATGGGTGGGATCTCCAATAATGGCTCCCGGCACTTGGAGAGGGGGAAGAAAAAGAAGAAAACAAAGGAAAGGAAGAGAAAAGAAAAGAAAAATACGTGTGACTGGGTAGCATGATGAAGGACATAAATTAACATTTTTGGAGATGAGGCCTAGGCACTGATACTTTAAAAAGTCACTGCTTTTTCAGAAGCCTTTGGATAACTTGAATAGGCAGACAGAGTTGAAAAGCACTCAGATCAAGCCTTCACCTATAATTAGGAAAAGTGAAATCTGAAAAAAAAGGGACAGATGAAATATCCTGACCAGTGTCACTTAACCTATGTATGGGAGAATCTGATTTGTGCAAACTCATATCTCATGATTCTCAAGCCAGAACCTTTTCTGCTACAGTTACTTTGGTTCCTGGGGGCAGAACTACAAAATGATCCCAGTAGACTATAGCTCATTACTGCTAGCTTCCAGGTAAGCTGCCTAATTTCAGCACTAACACGATTGCTACATGAAAAGCTGTGAACTAATGACCCGTCCTACAGCACATTCAAGCCTAAATTCATTTCATTCTCCCTTGTTCATTACCCTAAAAAAGTGCTAACTGTTCCTGCTATGAAAAAATGGAAGATCCTCAGCTTTGGTCTCAAAATCCCACTGAACAGCCATGGAAGAAGGCAGACTGCTGGCAGCATAATGAGGGTTTGGGTTCAAGGTTAACCAGCCATGATTGGATGGTGCGTGATTACTTCATTCCTTATCACTCTTGGACTGCCTGTGCTTCAAAAGAAGCACAGGTCCAGAATGCATATCTAGTAGATCTGCTTGACTTTGATCCACCAGCATTTTGCAGATGAAGAAGTTGGATGGATTAGATGACTGACTGACGATTAGTAGCTGAGCCAAGATTCCTAACCCCTATTTCCAGTATCAGGTATTGCTTACAATATTCTGACCCCATGGTAGAGTTCTTGAACAGTGTCATGTTCAAAAGAACAGAGCAACCAACAATAATGGGTTAAGAACCTGAGTTCTTTTATTGTATTTTGAGGATACCATGAAAGAGGCCCACATTCCATGTCAATACTTTGAAATTTCCCTTCTGTTCTTTTTTTTATCTACTGCCTTGTGCTTTATAACTGCACTTTTCTTGTCTTTTCAACTCTCTGCCATCAAAATAACCTCCTCCTTAACCCTAGTATGTGCTATGATCTTCTCTTTTTCACTCCAGTTTTACAGCTGCAAAGACAGGAACATCTTAGCGAGCTGGGGAGGAAAGAAATCCCATAAAGCAATGGTCTTCAGCCTTTTTGGCACTAGGGAGTGGTTTTTGTGGAAGACAGTTTTTTGCAGTGACTGGGGGTGGGAAATGGTTTTGGGATGACTCCAGCATATTACATTTATTGTGCACTGTATTTCTATTATTATTACATCAACTCCACCTCAGATCAGTAGGCATTAGATCCTAGAGGTTGAGGAACCCTGCCATACAGAAATCTGTATAGTGGGCAGACAGAAGGATAGTTTGGGGCCAATCATAGATTTCAGGGCCATGATTGGATGGTGCGTGATTACTTCATTCCTTATCACTCTTGGACTGCCTGTGCTTCAAAAGAAGCACAGGTCCAGAATGCATATCTAGTAGATCTGCTTGACTTTGATCCACCAGCATTTTGCAGATGAAGAAGTTGGATGGATTAGATGACTGACTGACGATTAGTAGCTGAGCCAAGATTCCTAACCCCTATTTCCAGTATCAGGTATTGCTTACAATATTCTGACCCCATGGTAGAGTTCTTGAACAGTGTCATGTTCAAAAGAACAGAGCAACCAACAATAATGGGTTAAGAACCTGAGTTCTTTTATTGTATTTTGAGGATACCATGAAAGAGGCCCACATTCCATGTCAATACTTTGAAATTTCCCTTCTGTTCTTTTTTTTATCTACTGCCTTGTGCTTTATAACTGCACTTTTCTTGTCTTTTCAACTCTCTGCCATCAAAATAACCTCCTCCTTAACCCTAGTATGTGCTATGATCTTCTCTTTTTCACTCCAGTTTTACAGCTGCAAAGACAGGAACATCTTAGCGAGCTGGGGAGGAAAGAAATCCCATAAAGCAATGGTCTTCAGCCTTTTTGGCACTAGGGAGTGGTTTTTGTGGAAGACAGTTTTTTGCAGTGACTGGGGGTGGGAAATGGTTTTGGGATGATTCCAGCATATTACATTTATTGTGCACTGTATTTCTATTATTATTACATCAACTCCACCTCAGATCAGTAGGCATTAGATCCTAGAGGTTGAGGAACCCTGCCATACAGAAATCTGTATAGTGGGCAGACAGAAGGATAGTTTGGGGCCAATCATAGATTTCAGGGCCATTACAACCATGCCCCAGTCACCTCCCTCAGGATGTTATTCTCAATTGCTCTGCTCCAGCATTTCCATTATCTACCTTGCTATAGTCAGATTTATTATGACCTCATAGGCCCAGCATATATTGAACATGTAAGCTATGGGACTCACTGTGACCTGTAGGTGGGAAATCTGTTTTTTTCCCCCCTTTTTAAAATATAGTGGAGATACCCAGGCTGCTGTAGCATTGAGATAGTATGCTTTAGTTGAGAAAATAATTCTAAGGCAAAAGTGATAATAATTAGGATTCTTCTGGACCACCAGCCTGGAGAAAAGAATGATTGCTTGACAAAAGCTTGTAACCCTTGATCTTTCATTTGATCTCCTCCAGGTAAAGACACTTCTTCCAAGGATCCAACCATATCAAGTGAATTTATATCCTCATCTGAAAACAAGGAAAAATGTTTCCTGCCACAGAACATGATTCCAGGTATCTAAACCCCAAAGACAAAACTTATTTAAAAATATTTTTCATGTAGAATGTTACAGTAACCCCCTTATCAGTCTCATCTACCATTTCCCTCCCTCTGATCCTTCCTAGGCACCACCATTAAATACATCTTTGTAAGCATGACCTTGACTGTGATATTCACTTGCCCACAAATCTTCCAATGCTCTCCATTGCCTGTGTGATTAAAGCCAAACCATCTCAGCTGACTCTGAAAGCTTTTCACAATCTGGTACATATTAGGAATTCTATACATATTTGCTGTATTAAATAAAGTATATATCACCAAATAGATTTTAAGGTGCTGAAGGACAGGTGCAATTTTTTGAATAATCAAGTATTCTACATAGTACCTAAAAGAGTTGTTTGTGCATATGTAATGGTGCTCAGAAAATGTTTGGTAAATAAACACATGAATGATTGAATAAGTCCATGGAGGTCTTGTTTGTCTTCTATATACCACCTTATACAGAGGTTATTAAATATATAAGGGCATAAAGGGTTGAGTATGTGGGATGAGATTGGCTGAGCAGAAGGGTGTCTGTCTGATTCTTTTTGGCAGAGCAGAAGGGTGTCTGTCTGATTCTTTCAGAATGAAAAGATTTTGAAATTAAAGTAGAAAAAATCTTTTTCTTAATACATATTTTTCACAATGTTATCTTTAAGAGACTTTAATGAAATTGGCAAAGAGAACCGTCCAGAGAGAGAGGTACAACTGAGCTGAACCTTGTATTGAAAATTCTGAGGATAAACCTGGGGAAAACCCAGTTTCTGTTATCCAGTAACAGGGACCATTTTTAATGGCAAATCACGTACCAAGCACATGCTAAGTCATGCCTGCATTTACTTCTCATCGTCACATACTCACTTCTAGGAGGTGGCACCACATTCTGCATTTCAAAGGTGGCAAACAGAGACTCACAGAGTGGGGTAAGTTCCCCAGTGCCACACAGTTAATACATGAGGAGAAAGGGATTCAATCCACGGTCCTTGTTTGTAACCATGATGCCCTGTTGTCTCCCAAGTATGTATTTCTCTACAGCATACAAAATCAAGATTTGTGAAAAAAGATCTGCAGTATGAATGTTTCAAAGGCTATGTACTATGTAAACAGATAGTGTATAATGTCATGCCACATTCTTTTTTTCCCCCATTTTAAATTCTGTCAAACTTTTTTGTTGACTATGAAAAAAGACTTGCCCTCTATTTTTTTGCTCTTCTGTCAATCTGCTTATCTGTCTGTCAGCTTGGGCCATCTCTGAAAAGGCTGAATCGCCAGCCATCTGTTGTTTCATGAACACAGTGGAGTCAGCATTTTATCCTATCAGTGAATGAACAAAGGGTACATGTAGGAAACTTAACCTCCCAAGCCAGAACTTGTCTATCTTTCAGCATTTTCTGCTATGATGCTGTTTCCAAGAAGATCATAGTGTAGGAAGGGGAGACTCAGCTCCAACTGCCAACCTCTTCTTCATGAGGAAGAGTCACAGACAGTCAATCAGACACATTATCATGATTAAACCACTAGTTTTCAGAAGGATTAAAAAAAGTGACAAAACGTACTTTGTACTAAAAGTAGAGTGAATTTGGTTTATTCCCTTGTCCTCAGTGGGTACTGTAGGATCCCACGTTGGCCTAGAGGTGTTGCTCCGAGTATCAGCTCTCACTGGTTGAGATCCAAAAGCAGTCTGCTTGTTTAAATCCAGGTCTTTTGAGTTCCATAAGCATGAACTCAAGTGCATGGCAAGGAGATTCACTTTGAAGGGGCCATCACTTATCAGGAGCTTTTCTAGGGGAGATTCTGGAGGGGAGTTTGGATCAGGCTTTGGAAGGACAAGAAGTTTAGTGAAAAGAAATCACAGAATCAGTTAGTGTCAAGGTTAATTACAGTGTAACATGATGAGGGCAGTGAGCAGAAACTGCTGGAGTACTAGGGTAGGGATGGGGGTTTGTGACGGACAACAGCTAATGCTTAATGTGTTTTTTGAATGTTTAGTATGCACCCAACATGGAACAGAATGCTTTATGCACATAATCTCATTTAGTAAGCCTCTTAAAAATTCTGTGGGATTGTACTGTAAAAGCTCTTCAGCTAATGAGAAAAGTCAAGTGTAGAGGGGTAATTAACTTCTCAGGGTGGCGCAGTTAACAAAGGCAGAGCCAAGCCTTGAGCCCAGGTCTGTGTGACTCCTCCTCCCTGGGCTTACCTCCTCCCAGAGATCATTGTTCAGTGAGGCTACCAGATGAACATTGGACCTGGACTGCTGAAGATGGAGGACTTGCATGAGATTAGAACACAGGCCAGGGAGGAGCAGAGTGGAATAAACATCCACCTGAAGCTCTCACCGATGTCAGGTCAGTGGGTATTGTCGTGTTGGAGCTGGCCTGCAGCCACAGCATTTCCGCAACCTCTGCATTAGAGACGAGCCTTTTTAAAGATAGAAGTTCAGGCTGCCTGTGTGCTCAGGTGAGCATGACAAGGGCTATCTTTAATGTTTTCAGGAATTTACAGAAGCCCTGGCAAGTTAAGGCTAGAAGACAAACCTCTGTGCTTATCCAGTTGATGCCTTCATGGTTCATTGTGTTTGAAAATTGTTAATGGTATTGCTACTTATTGTCTAAAGAAGACACATGGCAAAGTGCAGTTATAATAATGAACCTCCTCAGCATGGCCTTTCATGACAGCACTATCCACTCTCCAACAGCTCCATCACTCTGTCTCTTTACCCTATTAACATTTTTTTACTCATACCCCTTTTCTCCATCTGAAATTATTGTGTGCACGGAACTGGTTACTTGCCAAGAACACAAGCTCCATGAGAGCAGGACCATGTTTATTTTTTTCCCACTGTATCCTAGCACCTAAAACAGCTTCTGTTCAGAGTGTTGGTTTGAATGAATGTGCATTTTGACGATATTAAAGGTAAACTATAATATATTAACCATTTATCCTGACAAACAATAAATGCATTATCAGAAAGAAGCATATTAGAGGAAATACATGTGTATAAGTATAATGCATGGGCTTCCCTGGTGACTTAGTGGTAAAGAAACAGCTTGCAATGCAAGAGATGTGGGTTCAATCCTTGGGTTGGGAAGATCCTCTGGAGAAGGAAATGGAGCCCATTCCAGTACTCTTGCCTGGGAAATGCCATGGACAGAGGAGCCTGGTGGGCTACAGGAGGCTGGTATGACTCCATGGAGTTGCAAGGGAGTCAGACACAATAACAGCAATGTATAATGCATAAAGTACATGATATTTATTACCTATCATAAATCTGACATATAAATACTCTTCTGTAAATATGGATAAATTTCATATTCTTTGGAAACATTCATAAATCATCCGCAGTAGGAAATATGTTTTAGCTGGTTCTGTGTGGTACTGTTCCTTCAAGGCTAGACAGCTAGGAATATACCCTGTACAAACAGAAATAACCAACCCAACTGTAGCAGTTCCTGAGATTCTAGAACATTCTGGGCTTCAGCATATATATAAATTATTTTTTGAGAGGGGAGAAGTTTCAAGAATGTGTTCAGAGAATTGTTAAGATTACTTAACAATTACTTAACAATCTCTAATTGATGAGACCACCACTTTAGGGAATGGATGTGGGAATCACTGGGGGTTATCTAATTCTTTCTTCCCTATTACTGCATTTCCATCCTGATCTTTCTCCCTCTGTTCTCTTTAAGATCTGACACTCTCCTTCAGTGTGAAGAGCCGCTCCAGAAGGTGTGTAAATGGCCCCTTGCAGGAAGCAGCCAGGAGGCGGCTCTGGGCACTGGAGAATGAGGACCAGGAGGTGCGTGCATTGTTTAAGGTGAGCTTCTGGGAGCAGTGCAACCTCATCTTTTGTCCTTCCACTACCTTTACTCTCCCCAGCACCTAGGACGGTGGCAGGAACAAAATCCCTCAAGAAAACTTCTAACTGAATGCACAATAATGTATAGGTTCTCTGCTCAGCAGGAATGGGTCAACCCTTGGAATCAGAGTCAGAGAAAGCTTCATTTTAAATCTATTAATTTTTGATTGCCTGCATACTTCTGTAGAATGGGAATCATTATAATATCAAGTATACTTTTTAAAAAATGTGAATTTGGCTCTTAAAAATTGTGATAAAATATACATAATGTTTTCAGTTTTAATGATTTTTACTGTACACATCAGTGATATTAAATGCATTTATATTATTGTGCAACCATCACCACTATCCATTCCGGAATTTCTCATCATCCTGAACTAAAACACTGTACCCACTAAACAGTAACTCTCCTCTATCCCCTTTCCTCAGTCACTGGTAACCTCTAAGTGTACTTTTTTTAAGTACCAAAGTTACCAATCAAAAATTAATAGCTATAAAATTTATAATGAGAGGAGGAAAAGACAATAAGATAAACTAGTTTCTCATCTTTCATAGTAGAGATAGATAGGTAGATAGTACCTTCAAGTTCTAGACCAAGGAAGGAGGGTATAATTAAATTATTTATATTTTAGGGGGTACTTCAGTCAGTTCAGTCGCTCAGTCATGTCCAACTCTTTGCGATCCCATGAACCTCAGCACGCCAGGCCTCCCTGTCCATCACCAACTCCCGGAGTTCACCCAAACCCATGTCCATTGAGTCGGTGATGCCATCCAACCATCTCATCCTCTGTCGTCCCCTTCTCCTCCTGCCCTCAATCTTTCCCAGCATCAACCCAGAAAAATAAAGTCAGCCACTGTTTCCACTGTTTCCCCATCTATTTGTCATGAAGTGATGGGACCGGATGCTATGATCTTCATTTTCTGAATGTTGAGCTTTAAGTCAACTTTTTCACTCTCCTTTTTCACTTTCATCAAGAGGCTCTTTAGTTCTTCACTTTCTTCCATAAGGGTGGTGTCATAGTTGCTAGGAGAATTAAAGGCAGAAATAGTTAAAAGTTGCTGTAAGTTGTTAAAAGAGATGGGGGAAAGAGAACACTGCTTTACATATTAAACTAGCATGTTCTAGTTATTTTACAGTCTCTGTGTGAATTTGATACAAATTTAAAAAAGGAACATACTCTCTTAATCAGCCTTATACTAAAAAAGATAGTGTTTGGTTTGTTGGGAGAAGTAAATGAGATAGTATCTGTAGAGAGCTTGGTGTTGTGCTTGGGTGGTAGGATGTGCTCCAGAAATAGTAGATATATTATAAATAGCAGAATGGTTTTGTTTTTAAATCTCCAGAATTCAAGAACTTGGAGGGATTAGCTACTAACTGGCACCATTGAGTTTCTTTTAATTTGAGTCACTTTTGACATGGGCAAGCACTGGGTTTGGTGGTGTAAACTGGCCTACTGGGGCTTGGAGTCAGTTGAATCTGAGATCCAGTTTGGGTGTCATGGCTCCCTTGACTTACCCTGTCTGTGCTCTGTAATCCTTGAGTATAAAACAGGAATAATACCATTTCCTATTAAATCTGAAATGCCATTTGATTATAAATTTATTATTTTGAGAAGGAAAATAAGTGATGGCAATTATTTATGATGTCACGCTTCCTCTTCTTTTATTTCAGAAATGGTTAAATGTGATAAAAGTGTATTTGGAATGGGTTAACTCCTCTTTTCTAGGGTTATTGTGAAAGTTAAATGAAGCATTGCTCATCAAACTATTGCTGAAGTGCCTAGTGTGTAGTAAATTCCTTGTAAACCAATTTTTACTAAGGACCCTCTTCCCTGACTACCAGGGTCCACATCTCCCAAGGACCTGAGGCCTTTTGGGGCCTGGGATAGGAGAATCTCAGAGTTGACTTTGCTGATGTAGGGGTTTTTTCTTTGATCCTTCTGTCCTCTCCTTTCTCCAAGGTTGGATTTCAGGGGTTGATGAAATCAACCTCTCAGGATAGGATTTCAGGGGTTGATCTTTGATGGTAGGACCTGGCCTGGAGGGAGAGGGACTTTCTGATCCTAACTTGTTACTGTCAAGTCCAAAAGCTTGGACAAACAGAAGAGAAATGTTTTAGGGGAAAACCAAGTCTGGGCAGTGATTCAGGCCTTTTTATTCAGGTATTTAAAAAGAGGGGGTAAGTGTTGCAGGTCTCTTCTTGCTCTGCTAGTATGTAAATTTCCAGCCTTTTGGAGGGTAGCTTGGCTCCTGTATTTTAGGATAGAAAACATGTATTCCCAATTACACTTCTTGGAATTACTTGTGTCAAAACAATCAAGGATGCAGGCAAAGGTTTAGATATGGAATGTTTATCACAGTACTGTTTAGGATGTCAAAAAATTAAAACAACTCAAATGTCTAATCATAATAAATCATTAAGAATTAATTATCTTAGTGTGACAATGGCGTAAATAACCATTAAAAATAATGTAGATTATTTAATGACTTGGGAAATGGTTCATAAAACATTGTTTAGTGACAAACTAAATAGTTACATAGAAACTCACGTTCGGGATAAAAGGTTCAAAGTTCATAGACAAAGTTGTTAACATTGATGATCTCTAGGAGGAGGGATTATGGATACTTTTTATTTTTGTATGCTTTTGTTTTTCTGTTTGCTACTTTCATAAAAATAATTATTAAACAGAGATTCACAGTTGAATTTACTTCCCAGGTGCCTTCTGTGATGCATTCTTCACCCTCTAACACGTACTTTTTTTTTAAACACAAAAGATAACATTTTCTGTGCATAGTTCTACACTTTGGTTTCTTTTTGTTGCTGCTGTTGTTTCATTCAGAGGGTAGATTTGGAGCCTGTATCAATTCACAAAGAGATTTTTTATGGATATATAATATTATAATTTTATAATATAAAATGTATCCATTGAATGGATGAATCATAATTTATCTTAACCAGTCTCCTATTGATGAACATTTAGGTTATTTCCTTTTTGTTTTTCTGGTGATGTAAAAAATATACACCAGAATTGGTGAAAGTGGTTAAAAGGTACAAGCTTCCAGTTATAAGATAAATAAGTGCTGGGGATGTAACATATAGCTTGGTGACTGTAGTTAACAATACTATATTGAATATTTGAAAGTTACTAAGAGAATAGATCTTAAAAGTTCTCATCACAAGAAAAAATGAATCTGTAATTATATGAGGTGGTGGATATTAACTAAACTTACTGTGGTCATCATTTCACAATATATACATATGTTAAATCATTATATTGCACAGTAAAAATTAATACGATGTTATATGTCAATTACATCTCAAAAAAAGAAGTTCATACACAGCATGTTGTCATATGTGAACTTGTTCACAGAACACTTCTGTCATCCCAGACTGACTCACTATTCTCTTTACTCAGGACCTCTCAGCCAGGTTGGTGGGTATCCAGTCCCAGAAAGCCCAGTTCCTCATCACCTTTAAGACTATGGAGGAAATCTGGAAGTTCTCCACCTACCTGAACTTAGGTATGACATGGAGCAGGCAGGTAAAGGAGCACCTGTGTCTCAGATCAGCCATTTTGTAGAGCTTGACATTAAGGAATTGGTGTGCCTCTGATAATTAAAAGAGATAGCACTTAATTGGATGTTCTAATAGAAATATCACAAACTTCCTGGAACTAAATCTAAAGCAGATACTGCACTGAAATGTCACATGCAGCACTTCTTTGTTTCAAGGAGAGATTATTAGATAATCAGTTAAAATTGCCCAACAGTTATTGTTCATCTACAAAATTCAACATAGAGATAGATTCAAAATTTATGGTTAAAAAGAAAAAGAAACCAGCCTTAGGTAGGATCTAAGTAGCTGTTCAAAATAGTTCCAGATCCATGTTCCATGTTTTTGGAAGAGTCAAAGAAAGATATGGGGGAATTGTCTGCTAAAGAGGCCTCAGGATGAAGGGTTTTCTAGAAGGTAAAGAAGAATATTGGGGCACAGCAGCAGTACCAGTGTCGGGGGAAATAGTTTACCTACCATCTCCATGGAGAGTAACTCGTGATAGGGAAGTTACAATTGCAAAGCAAAACCAAGCAAAGCAGGAGGAGGCCTCTTGAATTGATGCACATGTTTTACATCTCTTAGACAATGTTGGGCTCCATGCAAACCACAGGAAGTGATTTCATGTAGGGGAGGAGGGTCAAGATGGCTCTTCACTAGAAGCCATAAATTCTTCTCTTGTAGTCAAGGTGATTTTCTACTTTCCACTCTACCCATTTGCTTCTGTGACCATTAGAGATCCTTATTATTCAAAGTGTGCTCCATGGACCAGCAGAATCAGCATCAAGTGGGGCTTGTTAGAAAAATGGAATCCTTAGCAAATGAACAACAACAGGCCCCACCCTAAACCTACTGAACCAGCATCTCTATTTTAATAATGTCCTAGGTGATTTTTGTGCACATTAAAGTATGATAGGCACTGTTACAGAAGATACACAGGGCCTAAAGCAGTACAGTGGAGAGTCAGAATGGAAAAAGACAGGTTTTGCATCTTAAGAAAGTAAGGAAGTCTAGTGTAGAATCAAAATTTTAATACAAATCATTTAAATTTATAGGAATGTTTAAAATACTATCCATTATCATTACAGTTTTGCAATTTGCATAGTTTTTAGTCTGGTTTTAACAAGTGAGATCTTACTGGGCATGAGATAAGGGGAGGGTCAGAGGAGTGTTAAAGTAAATCCTGACTCACTTATGGATCATAGAGAATCTCCCTGGCTACTGCATCATCAGGGATATAAGAATTTGGATTTGGTCAGGAGAACTTTAAGGGGGAACCAGGAACCCTCAGAGTGAACATTGTAATCTTGGAGATTCCTCTATGGGTATATTATAAAAAGGTAGTTTGGTTTGATAATCTTGTTCTGCGTTTATGGAGACTCATAATATGTTGAAAATAAGCATGATTTAAAAATGATTTATACTTCCCAATAGATGTTGAGAAGAACTAATTAGTTTTAGAAAATTTCTAGCTACCTCTCTATGCTCTTCTAATTCCAGTTAAATGTAGTCAGGTTAGGGATGAAGGTCTGGGGGAGAAATTCAGGTGGGAAATTTCTCACCCTAATGCTCAGCTAATGATAGGAATCATGTTATTGAGGAATCCTGTTGGGCTTGACTTAGGCTACGTATCCACATGTCTGGAGCATCTCCTTTTTGACCACAAGTATTGGCTCAACTGCCGACTGGTGGAGGATACAGAGATCCACGTGTCAATAGATGATAAACACCTGGAAACTATATACCTGGGACTCCTGATCCAGGAAGGTGAGTATGGTGTAGGGGTGGGAATGAGGGTCTTACCTGTGTATTTGTTATCAGAGTCCTTGCAATAGGATACAGAGGGAGGCAAAAACCATTCAAACATGAAAATATTCACAAACAAACCCACCTGTTATAGTATTATTTCAAGCATCTCAGTTTAACATCAGTATCACATGAACAGCTGTGTTGCCCAGTCTCACTGATTGTCTGATGTTGGAACTACTTGAGAATTTTTAAGAAGATGCCCATGTCAGGGCTCCACTGGGGTCAGTTTATCTCCAGAAATGGGGGTCAGGCTTTGGTATTTTTCAAAAGTTGCAGATTATTCTAACATGCACCCAAGATTAAGAACCACTATTCCAAACATGTGATATAATTTGATTATAAAATAAAATTGCAGATCTTGCAAAACTTGCATGATTTCATGAAATTAAAGAAAGTGATATTAGAAAACTTCTTTGGTGGAACACCCACCAATCTCTTTACAAGAAAGGCTTGATCTAGGCTGCAACCAACTGGTTAACAACTGATGACATCATAGACACAGTGAAAGAGCCAGATTTCTGTAGAATATTTTGCAGAATAATTCTCTTTCTGATTGTATCACATGAATCATACATGAAAGAAAAATTTGCATACTGTATGACTATGAAGTTTAGTTGGAGAAATTATGTTCACCCAAATGTACTTAATTTATTCTTTTTTGATCTTAAGATTAAGCATGAAAGCATGAGGTTGCAATTATAACTGCTGCTGCTGCTGCTAAGTCACTTCAGTCGTGTCCGGCTCTATGTGACCCCACAGACGGCAGCCCAGTTATAATTGAAGTTCCCTTAAATATATTTTCACTAACTTTGTTTCATCTTTTCTCAAGGTGAAGTCCCAATTAAACTTCATTCTTGAGAATTATTTGGAATTTTTGGTGCCTATTTTAAGTGAATTCCCTCTCAGTGGTTTTTTTTTTTTTTTAACCTGGTACCAACTTCCTGGGGTCACAAAGACCTCTTGTAGCACCTCTCCCTGGACTGTATAGTTTATTTTCAGAAAGAAAAGTATTTGGGCTCTGATGGAAATATATACATAGTGGATACTACATTTTCACTTCCTGCTACTCCTTGGAAAGAGCTTGTCTCACTATCTACAGGTCACTTCTTCTGCAGAGCCATGTGCTCTGTGGCTCAGCCAGCTGAGAAGGAAGGGGAGTATTTGACACTTTGCGAGAATGAGTTAATCTCGGTGAAGATGGCTGAAGGCGAGTCTAAGTGGGAAGGCGTGTCCTTGGTGACGGGTCAGCGGGGCCTGGTGCCAGTGTCAGCCTTGGAACCCCTGCTTCTCCCTTTCCACCAGTGAGTAACCACTCAAATCCTGGGAGAGGGTCCCAGAGCACACTGAAGTCTGCATAGAACAGAGTATTCACGTTTGTAGATAGGGACATCTGTGGTTCCAGGGAGGGGACAAACCTGGATGCTTTTTATCTTTTTTGTTTTTTTTTTTAACAGTCAAGATTTGCACAAAAATTAGATGAAATGGAGAAAACCCAAAATTTCAAATGGACATTGCATCAAAGAAGAAATACACTGCCTGGTCTCCAATGCAGTGTTTGTGGGGACTGGGGACCATTTATACCAGAGTCACTTGGGGATTTTACTACAAGTTTATACCCCCTGGTTTTCCTCAGTCTCTCTTGGGGTTGGATCTAAAAATCTTCAATTTATGTAAGCTCCCCTTAAATATCGGGGGATGTTTTTCACACTAAAGTCTGAGAATCCTTGCTGGGAGGTAGTATAAATTCCAGCAGAGTGACAATAAATGTGATTCCAGGCCATGGGCCCTGTGTGTCAAAGAGTCTGACAGTAGAATGGAGTGGGATCTCTTTGTTAGTTATTTAACTGACAAACTAATTGCTGAGCTAGAAAATACCCCATGCCTGTTGAGCTTCCCTCTTTTTCATAATGCTTGATAAAAAGTAAGTTCTCAATGAATGTTTGCCACTATTAAAATAAGAGTAATCCAAATGACAATAATACTTATCATTATTACCATCATTGTTATTTTAATGAATTATTCTGCTCACTTTTCAAATTTTTTGAAATCCATGTTTGCAAACCCTGTGTTTCCATTGGCAGATGGTTCCTAAAGAATTTTCCAGGAAGCTGTGGTCTTTCCAGGAAGAGAGATTGGACAGGCTCCTATCAGATAGGTATGGCTGAGTTGAAAACAGTATTAGTAGGGAGATAATATTGCTCTGCCTCCTACTATATCCACAGATTTGGAATCAGTTGATGTGAATTCCTGTCTCATCTCTGCTGTTGACTCCACTTGGGGAAGCCAGTTATACCATCCATAGACATGGATGGTATATGGATATTATACCATCCATAGACATTTCCTTGCCTGTGAAGTGAGAGGTCTCAGATCAGGGTTATACTTTAGATATAAATGCCTCCAAGGGCAGGCAGAACACACAGATGCTTGAAGGGCCTGAATGGAAGATGATGTTAGGAGATGGTGGGGACTGTAGGATTTTAAAGATATGTGGGTGAAAAAGAAGCCCCATATAGGCCAGATGTGGCTTGCAGTCTGCCTGCTTTCAATCTCTAGTCAAAATGTTTTCTAATTTCCCTTAGAATTTTGTGTTTAGGAAGATTAAGAATGCTTGGCACATAGTGGGTGCTCAGTAAATATTTTTTGAATAATGAAATACATGCATACATATATACGTATAAATATATGCATACATTTTAGTTAATCTCTCTATGTATGTGTGGGTATATATGGGCTTCTCAGGTGGCTCAGTGGTAAAGAATCCACCTGCCAATGCAGGAGACACAAGAGACGTGGGTTCAATCCCTGGGGTGGGAAGATCCCCTGGAGAAGGAAATGGCAGCCTACTCCAGTATTCTTGCCTGGAGAATCCCATGGATAAAGGAGCCTGGCGGGCTACAGTCCATAGGGTCACAAAGAGCTGGACTTGACTGAGCATGCATGTGATGCACATACTTATATATACATATACACACACATATATATACATAAACACATACACATATATCTGTAAGTATATTTATATCTACTAGATAATAAAATTTAATGTTTTCATCTTCATCCTTGGAGCTGCCTTACCACACCTAGCACAAAGTGCAAGTTTTAAAGTTCTGAACTCAGATAACACTTAAAAATATACAGAGGGAATTATGAGATCCAGACATTAGATCTAATCAATAATCGACCATAAACAAGATTTTTAGCTATCTGAGGCAGTATGGCCTTGTAGTTAGGAGCATGGGGCTGTGAAGTATGTTCTGGGTTCAGATTCTAGCCCTACAACTTAAAACCAGTGTGACCTCAGCCTATTCATGATGTGCCCTCACTATGCCACAAATTCCTCAATAGCAAATGAGGTTACTGTAAAACCAACTTCAGATTTGTCATGGGAACCAAACTAAGTAACATCTATAAATCACTTAGTACAATTTTGTCACATTGGAAGTGTTTAACACATGGTAGATACTATTAACCCCCAAAGCAGTGGGAACTTCTGATTTTGAAGACACAATCAATAGCTAGGCAGCTGGACAGTCATAATGGCCAAAGGAGCCAGAAAGAAATGGAGAGATCCTGCAGTGATCCTCACCCTGGTCTGCGGATCTGTGCTAGCTGTGATGAAGTGTTTGCATGGTAATGGCAAATAAGACAAAGTAGGACAATACAGTGAGCTTTCCAGTTTTACACAAGCTGCCTTTATTCTGGTTTAAGAAATACCTAGTATTCTGAGTTTATATTTCCTACATTTGTTAAAGTTTCTTTTATACAACAATGGTAAAAGTGGATGGTAGTTCCTTTTTTGAATTTCCTAGATTGGCCCAATGAAAAGCCAGTTACCCTGGATCATTCCTACCAATTTCTTCTTCTTTTTTTTTTTTCGAAGAGGGGGGAGAAATTTCACCGGTCCTTAAAGTTCTGTCTTGGGAACACTTCATTTCATATTACATGGGAAGTTGGTGGCTCAGCTGTTTCTGCCTTATTTGGTTGACCTGTGTGCTGTTTTCCCACAGGTAGAGGAAAATGTAAGGCCTGGAAGGAATGTGAGAGGGAAGAAAAGGATGAGCTGAATTTCCACCAGGGAGAAAGCATTGAAATCATCGGCTTTGTCATTCCTGGGCTTCAGTGGTTCATTGGGAAGTCAGCGCTCTCAGGAGAAGTGGGCTTTGTCCCTACCAGGATCATAGATCCTGATTCTTATTCCCCAATGTGAGTATGACAGACCGTCTGGGATGTGCTGGAGCAGGGCCTCTTTTCCCAGTGGTCCTGTCCCATTCTGTGCAGGTTGCAGATGAACTTCAGGGCTTCCTAGTAACACAAAAACCCATAAGAGCACATTCTGACAACCTAGACAACATGAGGAGTGATAGGAAGGGAATGATGAGTGACTAGGGAAGGAGTCAGTTCATTTCAGCAGATGGTCACGGAGGCCTTCCTCTGTGCAAGGAAGGAAACACAACCCTCCAAACTCAAGGCCCACTCTTAGATCTGCCCATCCAATCAAGGGGCTCCATCAAGGAAGTGCATGCACAAGGACCTGCAGACTGCTGCTGCTGCTGCTAAGTTGCTTCAGTTGTGTCCAACTCTGTGTGACCCCATAGATGGCAGCCCACCAGGCTCCCCCATCCCTGGGATTCTCCAGTCAAGAACACTGGAGTGGGTTGCCATTTCCTTCTCCAATGCATGAAAGTGAAAAGTGAAAGTGAAGTCGCTCAGTTGTGTCCAACTCTTAGCAACCCCATGGACTGCAGCCCACCAGGCCCCTCCATCCGTGGGATTTCCCAGGCAAGAGTACTGGAGTGGGGTGCCATTGCTTGTTCCGACCTGTAGACTACTGCTTCATAAATGGAGAGTTCCCTCTCATGTAGGTCTATCTGCTGAAAGTTCAGTGTGGGAAGTCAGTGTTGGCTAGGATGATGGAATGCCTCTTTTACTGTTTCCTGCCTTAAATCCAAAAGGCTTGGTTCTGAGGCACAGAGCTACCATGTGACCAGTCAGCAGCAGGTGGCAAGCCTGCTCCAGCCATCCTGTCATAGATTCCTAGAATACGTCCACCTCTCTCTGGGTGAGCATCCTGCACTGGGATAGGAAATAGTGAAAAGCCTGGGTCCAGGAAGTGCTAGAGGAAACACAGAGTTGGTGGCTAAACTTGAGACACTGTAGCCCTCCATGTGGGGAAAACATGGCCCAAGCAATGCCTTAGGCTCTGAACACTCAGACTGGAACTCCTTCCCTCACTGAAAGAGCCACTAAGGAGAGTGGCTGAGTGAGCCAAGAACAAGCTTTTTCCTTTGTAGGGAGAGGGGAGAGAAGGTAATTTTCCCTACACAAACGTGTAGGAACCCCGGTACCTCTATGAGAGGAATGACTCACCGAGCTCCTGGAGAGGTATGGAGTACAATAGGAGTTTATAAGGAGGCAAACTCTTTCAAGAGAACTTTCCTCACAAAGGTAACATGTGAGTTCAGCTTTGCATGATATAAGACAGTTCAACAGACATAAATAGGAAAGGAGGTCATGGGTAGGACAGTAAGGGAGATGTTGAGGAATGATTCGTGTTGTTAGGAGCAGGTCACGAGGTGGGCCCTAGTGTGGCAAAGGCTTATATGGGCTATGATGTGAAAGATGGGAAATGCCAATGCCAAGGACCTGTCCTTCACCTGGCAGGGAATGAGGAGCTACTGAATGTATCTGAGCAAGGGTGAGATGATGTGACTGGGACTTCTGTCTAGGAAGCCAGCTCTGGCTTTGGGCGAGCTATGCATGGTCAGGGGAGAGCCTGGAGGCAAGGGACCAATAATAAGGCTGAGTTTAGGGGCATTTAGGAAGGAGCAAGGGGACTGGAGAGGAGAGGGCACTGCTAGGACCAGTCAACAGACTGTAGAGATTGTGGGAGCTTTTCAAATATGGATCCTTGTGTCCTGCCCCTAGAAGTTCATTCTCATTGGTCTGTTTGGGGCCTGGGCAGCTATGGTTTTAAAAGCTCCCCAGGAGGGGCTAGGGTACAGACTGGGTGAAAACTGCTGCTCTAACTATTCCCTCAGTTTACTGCAGGGGTAGATGAGGATCCCAGGAGTGAAACAGCTGAACCCTCAGCCTTGGTTCTGGAATCCTAGATTTCTGATGTTAAATCTGGGGTTCTCTTTCAACAGCAGAGTCCTGAGGCTCTGATGACAGGGAGAAAGAATAAAAAGAACAGAGACTTAGTGGGGAAGAACGATTTACAGAGCAGAGAAAGAATGTAGTGAAGGAGACAACTAAGAAGGAACTACTAGCCATGTGGGAGATGGGGGATGGTTAACACCGTGAAAGGCCTTTGAGATTGACCATTGAGAAGTCACTGGCCAGGAGGAGGTCCTGGTCATTGGAAAGTAGCATAGCTCAGTAATAAAGAGTTTCAGAGCCAGATTTCCTGATAGGCATTTATAGCCACACGAGCGCATCCCGTGTCTGTTAGCTTACCAGTGGGTGACTTTGGGTATGTTAATTTGTCTCTCTAAGCTTTAGTTTTCTCATCTGCAAAATGCATACAGTGTTAGTATTTGCCTATAAGATTGTCTTGAGTTGAAATGAGCTACGTGTAAATCACTTAGAATGGTGTCTGGCATAGTGTGTATGTGTATGTATTATGATCAATATGCATTAACTCTTACTATTGCTGTTACTGTTGTGGGTGGTAATCTTTGAGAGGCCATTTAAATAGGCTGTTGAGGGTAGGTGTCAGATTTCATCAATTATATTGGACTTCTATACCTCATACCATGGGCTTCCCTGGTGGCTCAGTGGTAAAGAATCTTCTTGTCAATGCAGGAGACACAGATTCCATGCCTGGGTTGGGAGGGAAGCTCCCCCAGAGAAGGATATAGCAACCCACTCCAGTAGCCTGGCAGGCTACAGTCCATGGGATTGCAAAAGAGTCAGACATGACTTAACAACTAAACAACAACCTCATACCCTGCCTCAAATGACAATAACCCAGTACTACTAAATTAATCTGATCATCACATTTAGCTGGCTTAGTTGCACAGGATATACTCATCCTGCAGAATATCATCCCCTGTATCGCAGAGGTGGTAGGAGACCTTCTCCTTACTTGCACAGAGTTACCTGTTGGCCTCTACCTGGTCACCCATGGGACGCCATGCACCAAAGATTGCACATTTGGTAGGGAAGGAAGGGAAGAACGGACAGGAGACAGAGAAGGGTGGCGGAGGGAGAGGGGAGGGGAACTTGTTCATTGCACACCCCCAAAGCACTCTCTAGATTACAGACACTCTCTGCTGCTCCTGCTACTGTTGCTAAGTCACTTCAGTCGTGTCTGACTCTGTGCAACCCCATAGACGGCAGCCCACCAGGCTCCCCCGTCCCTGGGGTTCTCCAGGCAAGAACACTGGAGTGGGTTGCCATTTCCTTCTCCAATGCATGAAAGTGAAAAGTGAAAGTGAAGTCTCTCAGTCGTATCCGACTCTTAGCGACCCCATGGAGGACAGGTTCCTCCATCCATGGGATTTTCCAGGCAAGAGTATTGGAGTGGGGTGCCATTGCCTTCTCTGACAGACACTCTCAAAACACAGCAATTGGATGAAAACCCCACAACCTGCCGCCTGCAGCAGCCATTGTGTGGACCAGGAACCAGCATCCCTGTGTGCCGTGCTGTCCCTGTGATCAGGCCACTGGGTGTCACTCTTAGTCTGTGTTCGTTCGGGGTCAGGTCTCTGAAGATGGCCCAGCATTTGCTGTAGTCTCCATCCTCTCCTCTCAGCTTCCCTCCCTTTGCTGGTTTTTTATTCTCTGAAGTGTTACTGCAACATATGTATGCATGCATATATTTTTTGATTTAACCAAATTGGCTGTGTATTGACAATGAAATTTCTCAGAAGCTGTTTTCTGAGTCAAATTTAGGTCATGCCTCTGACACATGGGAACAGGATCTTGCTTATCCATGGAAGCAAATTTTTGTGAGTTTCTTTTTTTATAGCTCAGATTTCAACATCAGCTACCTAGTTTCACAGCAATAGTAGCTGGAAAACCCATTCTTAAACCTTGGGCAGGTCTGTCTGAATAGACAGTCTTTGTATTTGACCAGAGTGACTTTAAAGACTATCACTGTTATGAGAGTGATAGAAGGCCACATTTGTGCTCTTTTTGTTTTTTTTTCCAAACATTTAATGTGTTTGTGTTTGAGTTTGTGTGTGTTTTAAGTGAAAAAAATCTTTAGATATAATTGAAGATGCCTTTTTACCCCGTCATACTTCCATCCTCTGATCCTGATTCCATCCTATAGGCCAACACTGTTTGAAATTTCCAGTCCTTATTCTGATACATTTGAAAAATTGACATTTGTTTATAAATGAAAATACTATGGTTTTGTGTATTGAAATCTTATATAAATGCTTTTTCTACAACTGGCCTTTTCCACAATTGACATTATAAATTTAAGATTTATTCATGTTGTAAAAGATATAGTTCATTTTCATAAAGTGTTACTTACAAGAAATCTATATACTTAAATGCCTAAATTTAAAAATAAACAAGATTGAAAGATTAATTTACTTGAAACCAGATACAAGAGAATAGGAGAAAAGCCAATATTTCATGGCATTAAATGTTAAAAAAATTTCTTAATCTCTTCTTTTATTCTTACTGTTTGTTTCTTCTTTATAATTCCATTTCTTGTGGCATCTATTTTTGTTGATGAGAAATTTGCTGTTTCATAACCATTTCTTTGCAGTAGGTAGCTTTTATCTTGTTTTTGTTAAGGTTTTGTTTTGTTATTGATGTTTTGCAATTGTACCATAGTATGTCTAGCTTTGATATATTCTATTATTTATAGCAAGTTGTCTGCTTCCTTCTCCATCATGTACACCTCTAGGTAGATATTTCATTGGAGATCTGTGAATTGGTAAATGCTCTCCATCTCTTTAAGATACTTAAAATAGACTCTTGAATGATCATTTACATAGGTGTAGAATAATATCTTCAAAGTGTAGAGTGAAAATTAATTATTAATATAAAATTTCAAATCCATCTTGCCAGTTTTGTCAATCTTATTAGTCTTTTCAGAAAACCAGTTTTTCTTTTGTTTACCATCTTTATTGTTTGCTTTCTATTTCATTAATTTCGTATTTACCTTTATAATTTTTCTACTTTGCTTTTATTTCGTTAATTTATGTTCTTATCCTTTATATTTAACTCTTTTATTCCATGATTTGAATAGTTAATTAATTGATAACTGAACCCAGAAAGAATGATTAGGAGAAATAGAAAATCCAAAAAGACTTATAACCTTAATGAAATGGAAATCATGTTTAAATTGTATTATTTTTATTTATTTTGCTTAGGACTTGGTGTGCTTCTTCAATTTGAAGACTCATGTCTTTCTTCACTTCTGGAAAATGCTCAGTCATTCTTCCTTCGAATATTGACTCTCTCTCATTCTCTTTAGTCTCTCTTCTGGAATTCCTGTTAGAGGTATGTTGGGCTTGTCATTCTGTCCTCAGTCTTGCTTAATCAGTTCCTTTATATTTTTCATCTTTTGTCATGCTAGGATACATTCTGGATGATTTCCTCAGAACTTTCTTCAGTTTCACCAATTTTCTTCTCCACTGTGACTAAACCTGTTGTTTAACTTTACTCATATGGTCCCAAATGCCCATGCTTTTATTTTCACTTCTAAAATTTGTATTTTACTATTTTTCACATATGCTGTTCCTGCGCTTGTAGTCCCATATTTTCATTGTAGCTTCTATTCATTCTTTTTATTTCATTATTTTAACCATGCTTATTATAAATTATCTTCAGATTACTGTTAGTTCTATTGTAGTGTTGATCTACCCATTTGTGCACTTGCTAACTCTCTTTGTCAATAGTTCATTTTCTTGTGTGGTTTGTATTTTCAGTTACGTGAATGAACTTTCAACATTTTAAAAGATGGTCTTTGCCTGAAGCCTTGACTACAGAAAGCATTCCAGCAGAGCAGTTTTGGCCTTTGCTTTCCCTGGAAACTTAGAAACTCAGTGGTTCAGATCTGGTTCTCTGATAGGGTACCTACATTATGCAGTGTAAATTCATATCCCACACCTTCTAATAATGTAAGCCTAGGTGTTTTATTTTTTCCAGGCACTCAGACAGACAGAAAGCATGTTCTTGGCAGGTTATGAGACGTTTCCAATCCCCTTTTATAGAAGTTGCAGCCCTTCTAGATTTTAGGCCATAGGGAACACAAAGCTATTTTGGGAGCTCCATTCAGCTTCCCTGCTTCACACAGGTCCAAAGTCACATTCTGTCCCTAAGTGGTATTAGCAGGTCAGCCCCACCTCTGAGGGCCAGTGTCCCAGCTGAGAACCGCCAGCATCTCTGGACCATCTGCTCTAACTTAGCAACTTGGCTTTGGTTTCTCCTTTTGTTTCTGGTTCCCAGGAATTTCCCTTTCTCTCTTTAAAGTTAAAGACTATATTAAAATGTTTATCTTTATCAGATTTTATCCATGCTTTGTCTGTGTATATGGTGGCAAGTAGCCCTGTGCTTCAGCCTGCTGTATTTCTAGAAGCCCTACCACACTCCTTCTAAGTCCATCTCCATGCTGGCAAACCCTAATGTAATTTGTCAAGCTTCTTGGACTCTCTAAGTATCTGGGACTCAGGGCATTAGCATATTAGCCATAGGCAATGACACAGAGGCAGACGACCTCAGCTTTGGTCTCAGCTTTACCACTTTCCAGCTGTGTAATTTTGAGCATGTCACTAAACCTTCCTGAATCTTCATCTACAAAAATGAGTAAAAATACCTACGTCATAGGATTGTTATGAAGAGTAAATGAAATAGTAAGTTCAGGAATGGGGTCTTATCATTCTTTTTATCTCAAATGAGTTTAGATGTAGGATTCAATTACATGCTCTTTTAAGGATGGGATATCTTAAACTGCTGGGGAGAATCTGGAGGTCAAGCCAGAGAGATAGGGGTTCCATAAAACAGGGAGGCTTGGTGTACTACAGCCCATGGGGTTGCAAAGAGTTGGACACGACTGAGCCACTGAACTGACTGACTTAAGTATGGTGTCAAGAGCTGTAGATGTCAAGACAAGCTTTAGTGCCAGTTCTGCCTCTAATCAGAGTTGTGACCTTGAGCAGTTCACATTAGTGGCTAGTTTTCTCAACTAGAAAGCATCTACTAAATTGGCTGACTTTCAAACTGCATTTATCTGAGCTATGGAGACAATGGGTAAGTGGCAGACCATGGCACTGCATCCCAGCCCCTCCCTTAACCATGCTTGAAGTAAAGAAGCTCCTCTTATATACTGCTTTATGGTTACCTAACCACAGACTTTATTTTTCTGTACCTCAGTCTCTTCCTCTATAAAAAGGGGATGAGAATAGTATATGCATCATAGGGCAACTACATGCATTAAATGAGTATCCGATTCATAATAAACACCCCCTACAAAGTATTAGCTGGTATTAACAGTTGGGCTTCCAAGTTATTTTTGTTTTAAAACTGGATTCTGAAGTTAAAAATATACTGGGAACAAAGAGATGTTAAATGTTGTCTAGATAGATACTGGACTGAATACTTTCCACAGCACTTCTGGTTTTCATGTTCTTTGATTTTATGACAGGTATCTAGCCGACAAATTGGTTTTAACAGTTAGTTTATACAGTAAAGTGAATATACAGAGCTCTATTATTTATAATCATTTCTTCTAGCTCCCTGGCCTTCCTTCTACCCATTTCCCATGCCTTAGCCTTCTTTCCCTCTCTTTATGGTGCATAACACTGTTGTGCTGTGTCATGGAATCTGATGTCGATATCAGCTGTGGAAGATTTCTTCTGACTATAGTCAAACTTTCTCCATTGTTCCTCTAAATTGTGTCATCAGTCCTGAGTGTTTTCATGAAATAATCAGTCAAAGAAACATCTTTTAAAGGTCCTTTTCCAACCCTTGCATTTAAGACAGCCAGTCCCTGTTTCTTTCCTTATAAATGGTCACCATGTGGTCTCACAGAATGGGTAGGGGTTGAAGAAGGGGTTTTGTTTTTCTTGAGAGATGGAGATTTAATTGGAGGGTTGTTTTCATGTGCCACTTCTTTCAGCCAGCACGTAGGTCAGTTCTGCACAGATGAGGTGCCTCCAGCTCTTTTTTGATGTATAAATAAAAACATTATACAGCAGCGAGATGAGGAGTCTGATTTCAGCTCTGGCTGTGTAGGCTGATGGCTCCTCTGTGTGCTTCACTGCATTCTAGGGTGAAGAGGTCATGTCTGAAACCTTGCACTGATCTGTGTCCATGTCCTCTGCCTCAATACAGGAGCAAGAACTCTGCCTTTTTCAGTGATGAGGAAAAATGCTCTCTGGGGTTCCTGGGAAGTGACAGGAAAGCTGAGTGTGTCAGCTTCCTCCGCACACTTGCTCAGACTGACATAACATCTGTCTACCAGCTTAGTGAGTATTTGCTTCTCAACTGCCCCCCACCACCCCAAGAAAGCCCAAGCTCCTCAAGATTAAGGAATTGTTCATAACCAAAAAGTACAGTATCTCTAAGTCTAATCACATGCATGTATGTGGGACTGTGACCACAGTTCAGTTGATGACCTGGGTCATATGTGATTAGCAGCATTTTCACTTTGGATTTCAGATGATTCTAGAGTCACAAGGGACTTGGTGCCTATAAAGTATGAGATGTAATGAAATCAACTCAGCTATAGAATGGGAGGCTGGCCATATTGAACCTTCCATTATAAACTGGAGAAGAAAACTTCCTGGGTTGTGGCTGAGTGTCCTCCTCCTACAGCTGAAGTAGGTCTGGCCCTGCAATAATAAAGGTGGGGCCATAGACCATTATAGCTGGGAAGACCTAAGAAATGACTTCTATCAATCATTTTATAGATTAGGAAGCTGAGGCCCAAGTGGAATTAGTGCCTGAGTCAGGATAAGAACTGCCCTCCCCTGTCCTCTAATCAGGACAATTCCTACTTCACCACCGTGCCCCTGACACAAAATGACTTTGGACTGTTGGATATGTCAGCCTTGGGTGAGTGAGGAGTCTCAGTACCTAGCACAGTTTTCAGCGGTATCTGAGTGACTAACTGAGTGAATGAATGACATTCCTTTCCCTTACTTTGTGAGGGGTCCCTTGCTCTGTGTCAAGAAGTGCTTCATACATGGACAGGGTTTGAGGAAGGATTCCTGTTTCTCGTATCTCTTCAGTGATGGGGATGCTGCATCCACTCCTTTGTGGCCACATTAGATGGCACACATTTCATGGATATGGCCAGAGATTCTGCAGAAGGACTCACAGGCTAGCCTCTGGAGCAGAAGTGGGAGTTGAAAACTTTATCCAGGCACAGGAACATTTGTGATTAGCACCTTGCCCAGGTATCAGCACCAGCCCAGGCGGCACTTTCTTACTACAGGCAGATCACACTGCTGCACCCAGCTGAACCGCGAAGCTGAAGTTATGAATGCAGCCTGGTAGTCAGGAGCCAAGGTCTGAAAATCAAGGATTAGCGGCCTGCTCTGGAGGTAGGGGTGGCTGCAGACTTGGATCCAGGGTATCTGCCAACTGTTGACCCAGTGGTTGAGGGAGATCCAGGGACAGGTCTCAGGCAGCCCATTAGCTCTTATCTACAGACCAAGGGTGCATCTCTGCTGGGTGCTGGGCTATACTTCATGGCTTCACAGGTTGTCCCTGGCACCAAGGCAACCAGCAGAAGGGGCATCCTGTTGGTAAGTTCCAACTCCCCCAAGGCCTATGCCCTGTAATTCTTTCTCTGAGAGGAAGCATTATTATTATTATTATTTTGGTAATTCCTGCATTATTTGTGTTCTTGGGGGTCCTGGCCCCAAGAGAAATGGTTGCAGTAAGACAGGCAGGTGTCCCACAACATCAGTGAGGGACAGGTGCAGGAACCTAGAGTCCAGCTCTCTACCTCTGCTGTGTTTGTCTGTAGGACCTTTGGGGGTTACAGATATCAAGTACCTTCAATGACACTCACAGAAGAAACCTTCTCCTGAGAATAGCAAGTGGAGGCTTGACTTGGTGAGGGACCTGCTACCCTTAAAGTTCACTGGAGAGCTCAGAGTGGGGGCACAGGTGGCTGGTTATTGCTTCTTTGCCAGGAAAAGGTAGAATCTTTTTTCTAGCAGCCCCTGTTCAATGGAGCATGAACCTGGCCTTCACCTCCACCAGCTCCACTGTGGCTACTTTGGCCAAGGGGGTCAACTTCTTTGCTGCCAAGCCCAAGGTCATCTTTTTGGTTCTCACCTTATCTTATTTCACTTTTGTTCATTTTTGAACACAGTGAAATGTGTTCACTTTTGTTATCTTGTCACTTCTGTTCACTTATCTTGTTTCACTTTTGTTTCACTTGTGTCACTTTTGTTAGATGACTGCACCATAAACCACCCTGGTCTCCATGACTCCTCTTTTCTCTGTGCCTTTCCAGTCTCCTGGATTGGCTCTCATCTGCCAGTAAAATGCTGATGTTTTCCCAGCTCATTCGCAAATCCCCTCTAGCCACTCCTCCCCCACCTGCTTTGCTTTTCCTTTCAAATCCTTCTTTTGGGACTTTGAGACATTCTTTGTGACCTAGTGTCAGTTACAAATCCATGTTTGCAAGTCTCCACTTTTCTCCTTGGCCACAGATCTATTTCATTCCCTGCTAGAGCTCCTGCAAGTACTACAAATTCAGAATGTCTAAAACTACTAGAGATTGTGCTTTCTCCCACCTCATCCCACCAAAGTACTTCAGGGAACAAGACTTAGGAACCTCAGATGCTTCTTTACTTTCTTTTCTTAATTATTGACATTTGGTCACCTCATCCTATCAAATTTACAAAGCACATTGTGCACACTGAATCTGTCTGTTGAATGGGTGGATGACAGAGGAAGGAAGAAGGAAGGCGGTATACATGGCAACAAGAAGCAATGCCGCATGCCACAGGTGTGCTGCCCATGGAGTTTGGTTCACGGCTCTGTCATAAACTCACTGAAAGATCTGGGCCTTCAGACTCCATCATCACCCCTGCTCTGCACACTCGCACCTCTTGGCACAGAGCTCCCGTTTCTGTCTTTTCTTCTCTGACTCTCTTCTCATTTCTGCCTCTGCTCAACTGTATGGTGAGTGGGTTAGACCAGATAATCTTTAGGTCCCTGCAGCATTGATGGTGAAAGGGAAGTGCTGTCTTGTACCTTAGGGACAGCAGATGGTCTGAAACACAAAATGTCTAAGGGGCCACTGGTCTAGGCAACACATGCAGGCATAGGCATGCTGGACCATTCTGACCTAACTTGGGTCTGTCCTTCATCTCTATCCAGGTGGGTTTGAATCCATCCAAAGTCTTCCAAACGATCTGAGCGGTGAGTAGAGATCATGCTGAACCAGACCTGCAGTCCTGTGGGACAAAATCTTGTCCTCTTGCCAAGAGCTGGCCACCATAGTTGCAGGTACTTAGTGTTGCTCAATTCTGCCTGTCCCTTACAGTGTCCCAGTCCGAAGGCTTCAAGGAGACCCGGCCTGGTGGAGCCTGGGAGGAGCATCAGGCTGTGGGCTCCGGACAGTCCAGCAGCTCTGAGGACTCCAGTCTGGAGGAAGAGCTCCTTTCAGCCGCCTCAGACACCTATCATCTGCCAGAGCCTGATAACCTTGATGACCCAGAATTGCTCATGAACCTGAACACCGCTCAGGAAGAGGAGGAGGCTGAGAACTTCGCCCCCCTATTGGCTTTTCTGGATCACGAGGGTTATGCTGACCACTTTAAGAGCCTCTATGATTTTTCCTTCTCTTTTCTCACGTCTTCCTTTTATAGTTACTCTGAGGAGGATGAGCTCATGGCTTACCTGGAGGCCTCAAGGAAGTGGGCCAAGCGGAGCCACATGACCTGGGCCCACGCCCGGCTCTGCTTCCTCCTGGGTCGGCTAAGTGTCAGGAAGGTCAAGCTCTCTCAGGCCAGGGTGTACTTTGAGGAGGCCATCCACATTCTCAATGGGGCATTTAAGGATCTATCCTTGGTGGCTGCCCTGTACATCAATTTGGCGGCCATCTACCTGAGGCAGAGGCTGAGGCATAAAGGCTCGTCCTTGCTGGAGAAGGCAGGTACCTTGTTGGCCTGCCTGCCTGACCGGGAGTATAGTGCCATGAGCGAGCTGGATGTGGTGGCCTATGTGCTGAGACAGGGCATCGTGTCAGGCAGCTGCCCCCTGGAGGCCAGGGCCTGCTTTCTGGCCATCCGATTGCTCCTAAACCTTGGCCGGCATGACGAGGTCCTGCCCTTCGCTGAGCGCCTGCAGCTCCTCTCTGGACACCCTTCCACCTCAGATGCTGCAGCCACCATCTTGAGTTTTCTCTATGACAAGAAATATCTGCCACACCTTGCAGTGGCTTCTGCCCGGCTGCGTGGAACTCAGAGTGTCCAAGGGATGACCCTTCCAATTTGGCAGGTCCACCTGGTCCTGCAGAACATCACCAAGCTCCTTGGCATCTCCTCCCCAAGCTGGGGTGAAGTTTCTTCCCTGGCTTGCCCGGCACTCAGGCAGGCACTGACTTCCTGTGAGGAACAGGCGGACTGGAGCACCCAGAGGGTCCTGTGTCTCATCCTGTCCAAAGTGTACCTCCAACACAGGTCTCCTGATGGTGCCATCCACTACCTGAGCCAAGCTTTGAGGCTAGGCCAGCTGCTGAGTGAGCAGGAAGCTTTTGAGTCTTCCCTCTGCTTGGCATGGGCCTATCTCTTATCCAGCCAGCCAAAGAAGGCTTTGGACATCCTTGAGCCATTCTTATACTCCCTGAAGGAGACAGAGAGTGTTATCCACAAAGGAGTGGTCTATAACCTCATGGGACTTGCACTTCAAGGTGAAGGCCGGGTGTACAGGGCAGCCAAGAGCTATCTTCGGGCCTTGAACAGAGCCCAGGAGGTGGGGGATGTGCGCAACCAGGCAGTGGCTTTGGCCAATCTTGGCCATCTGACCCTTAAGTCCTGGCCTCAGCAGCCAGCCAGGAACTATCTTCTGCAGTCTGTGCAACTCTATTCTACACTCCAGGCCAGCATGGAGACAGACATGGAATTAGTACAGGTGCTTCTCTGGCTGGCCCAGGTCCAGGTGTATGGACGCCAGCTGGCCAGTGGCCGCTTTTGTTATGAAATGGCACTGCTGTTTGGCTTAAGGCATCAACACCTGAAGAGTGAGTATGTCCTGTGCTGCTGAGATGCTTTAAGAGAAAAGTGTTAGAGGACGTTTTTTTCCTTTGTTCTATCTCCAGTCATCTCATCCATGTTCCTGCTTTATGTTCAGGTCAGCTTCAGGTCACCAAATCCCTCTGCCATTTCTACAGCTCTGTGTCCCCAAACCCCGCGGCATGCATCACCTACCACGAGCACTGGCTGACACTGGCTCAGCAACTCAGAGACCGGGAGATGGAGGGGAGGCTGCTGGAGTCCCTTGGACAGCTCTATCGGAACCTAAATACATCCAGGTGAGTTCAGGCTCAAGGACTCTCCTAGAAACGTCTTTTCTTCCTTAAGGAGAATCAGTATACTTTCCCTCGCAAAGTTAAGTACAAATGTACATGATGTGTTTATGGCATCATGGAAAAGAACATGGTCTTTGCAGCCACCACACATTGTAAACTCAGTGCCACCCATCACTTATTAGCTGTGTGACTTTGGGCAATTTTTATACTTGCCCATGCCTCCACTTCCTTACAAGTTAATGCACACGGGACACTTGGACAGTGCCTGATAAGGCTCGATCACGTTGGCTATGTTACAAGTAATTACCTGTGTGTTTCTATAACAATTGATCAAATGGACATGGCTGAGGGTGCATAATTCAGAGGTGGCAATTATTATACTGAGGACCATGGAACCCTCAGGAGGTCTTCATTACCTGAGGACAGTTGGTATTAGAGAAAGGACACAAAGTAAATAAATGCACAGAAAACAGGGGTGTAAAATTTCACAGTAAAAAATTTTGATTGGTAACTTACCTTTAAAATGAAACTGGAAATGATGAAACTAAGTTTATTTTCACTTTTTAGTTAAGAAGCTAAAGTTATAATTGCATCTGTGCTCTAAGTCATAGACTAAACATAACAAAAGAAGTGTTTTAAGATTGACTTTTTGGGACTCTCTTAGAAAGGCTCATTTTTCAAAAATATCCCAAAACGTGACTATTTATCCAAAGGCTTTTTTTTTCCCCACTCTTGATATTTAAATTATTCTCAAGTGAACTATCCTGCCATCTCTTGCTGATTTTCCTCTCTGTCTCTTCACTGAGCAGATCTGCCTGATCCTCATTTGCCAGTGGCATGGCCTGCAGCTCTGCTCTCTAACAAGCCTTTAATTGATTCCATTAAACTCTGCATGGTTTATATTTAATTTCACTTTGCAATAGATTAGCATTGTAGCATTGTATTCATAATTATGAATGACTTCTAACATAGGGGAGAGATGATTGCCAGGGTTGAGCAAAGAGAAGTAATTGAGGAAAAAGCATTTAAATGATAATTTTTGCTTTTCTAGGCAATGTGGTAACCTTGGGTACCTGATAAATCAGACTACTAATAAGCAGATAATGAAATCTTTCTTTGTCTTTCTTTCTCCCATTCTGTCTCCCTCTCCCTCATCTCTTCCCTCTCTCACAAGAATCAGGTATCCTCCAAATATCCCATTGTCTTTAGTCCCAGGAATGGAGTTTTGGGTCATTGCACTCTGTGAGGGGCCAGGAAGCCTGGCCTCAGCCCCACTCTGTTTCTGTTCTGAACACCTTAGGAATCTGTATAGCTTGGGAGCAGATCCAGAAGGTAGGCTTAAATTAACCTTAGAGATGAGATAGTCATATATTCACGGTGACATATAGTGAGAATGGGCTTTGGGAAAGTTAACTTTTAAGGGACTGAAGTATGGGTGGCAAATATGTGTCAGGTTTATTGCCACCCTCCCCTGTGTGCAACTTCAGTCTCAGATTAATTGCTGTGCAGTGATTAGTCACCTACCCAACTGCCATCCTTAGCTCACAGCCTTCCTCCTGCCTCTAGTTGTAAAAAACCACTGAAATTCTAAGGGAAAAGCCAGAGAAAAAGCCCTGGATGCTGTCAGCAGAGTGCAGAGTCCTTTCTTAAGGCAATATGAAGGACCACTGGATTTCTTAGGTGTGAGGAGAGATAGAGAGAAGGGAAGGTGTGGAGCTGGAGTTGCTCCAAGGAGTCACAGGCCACAGGGCAGTGAGAGAAGAGACTGAAACTGGATTGGGAGTCAGGAAACCTGAGCCTGCCATGAGCTTATAATGTGTCCTTAAATAAGTCATTTCTCCTCTTGGTTGCCTCATTTATAAGGTTAAATTGAATAAGGTGCCTTCTAGTTCTAAAATATGTCTAGGATGAGCCAGCTATGCTATGCTACACTGGTGATGTCCCTGTTAGTGTAAGAATTCCTGCTGCCTCCAAAGAGTCTTGAGTTTTGGAGGCAGATTCTTAAAGTTATGGGCCTTCTAGATCAGAGACCTAAACTTTTGGGGATTTTTAAAGACACTGAAGTAGCTTCAGAAGGTCTTGATGTAGTGACTGTAAACTCCAAGTGGGCAGACCTAGTGTCTAGCGTAGAACAGAGAGACATACATATTTGTGTGGGCATGAGATGTTTATCCGTTTTCAGGATGCTCAGTTTGTCAGAGAGAATGTGCTATAATGCTCTATTTATTTAGCATGTATAAATCAACTACTCCTGCAAAGCCTTTGTGAAAAAGAATAGAACAAAGACCAGCTAACAGAAATAGATAAATAAGTGTTTCCATGCACCTGGAGGTAGTTACTGTAATTTAGCTCTAAGCTTCCTGGTAGCTGAGGTAAAAAGGGAAAAACCATGCGAGGTTCCCACTGTCTGATAAAAAAAATATAAACAAATGTATCTGTTGGAGCAAATTTTTTCCTGGCACTGACTTCTAGGAAGAATTTATTAAGTGGATTTTGATGTAATGGATACATTTTTTCAACTAAATTCTCCCCATGGGATCTCCATTCTTACAAAGCTGAAAGCCATATCAGGCAAAGGCAGGAAGTGTTCATGGGTGAGATGGCAGGCATCTGCTGGGTCAGGTTTGGAGGGAAAGGAAACAACACTTTCAGCTAAGGGTTGGTGGATCATCTTCATGAAGGTGATAACATTTAAAGATGCCTTTGAGGGATAAGAGAGATTTTGAAAACTGGAGGAGGGTAAGATAAGAGCATTTGGGGCCAAGGGTCTAACTGTAGCAATGGAAAGGGGAGGGCACATTTGAAAAACATTCTGTAGATTTAACGGACCAAGTTTGATGTTTCTCTGGGTATAGGTACTAAAGGAGAGAGAAGACTATAGCCTACCTCCCAGGGAGGGATGTGGAGGTTAGATGGGGGTGCAGGTGGGCCTCTGGACTGGCACAGTCAGCATCCATATTGAAAATGGTGGTCATAATAGTAACAGAGCATGCACTGATTACCAGCCAGTGTGCAATCTAATGATGACCTTATGAGGAAGGAAGAGTGAGTGATTTTCACTACCCATACTGCTTTTCAGCTCATTTACATTCCTCCTATTTGAAATGTTTTCTCTAGTATTCAGTGATGGTGAGTAGGAAGGGAGGGCAATAGATGATGAAAACTTTGGTTCAGCCTTCAGAATTTTGTCTTGAGACACTTTGCTATCCCTTTGTTCAGTATATCTTTTGAGTCTTGCTTTCTTTGCCTTCATGGTAATGACTACAGAATCTAGTTTGATGAAGTCTTTCATTCTCTCAATGAGACAGGTCATTAGGGGTCTTGTCTTCTGTTTCAAGGTGACACAATATAGACTTTAGGCTGTCTATAGACTCAGCTCCGGAGCTGAACCAGGTGGGTTCCTTGAGAACTTTATGGTTCTATTGGATCAGTTCGACTAGTAACTTGCTGAACATGTACTATGGCCCAGACCCTATGTTAAAAGCTGACAAATGTCAGCCCAGTCCTTAAGCTGATAATGCTTATCATCTAGTTCAGGAAGTAGATATTACGCACATACTCACTGCAAGTATCACATAAATGGTGCTAAGAGACACAAAGAATGTGCATATTTTTCAGATAGAAATGCCTTGCATGCAACAGGCCTTTGCAAAGTAATGATTCTTTGCATGTAATACAATCCCTAGATGCCTAGAAGTCATTTTTCATGGCTTTTACTCTTATTCTTGTGCATCTTACTCCTGTGGAACTGAAAAAAAATGCTTCAATGTTTGGTTTTCAGTGTAGCTAATATGAGCAATCCCTAACGTTTTTGGAATCATAAACAAGGAAAGAATTGCACTTGCTGACATGTTCTCCTTTTATCACAAGCCTAGGATGTGCATCACCATCCATCTTTTTCCAATGGGGGCACTTTGTTCAAGGTTTGAGGTTGCTTTATGTCCTTCAAAATTTTGAAGTTGTTAAAGTGGCAAAAGAAACAAAAGTCTTTCCACAAGTTGGTTTCTGAGCCAGAAATTGAGCACTGTTTGAGGGTCTGTGGAGGGGCTCTGGAGTTTGATTCTCAGGGTTAGATCCTTGTTTAAACAGAGTTTATTACTGGTCTTTATTACTGGTCTTTATTGCCTACCCTTCAAAGCCTTATTTTTCCCATTTGCAAATGGATATGATAATGATACTGTTCTCTTAGTGCTGTTGTGATGATTAAATGAAATTATGCGTGTCAAGCCCCTAGTGCATGCTAAGGTCTCAATAAATCATAAGTAACAATTACAGTCCATGCTGTTATTAAAGACAAAACAGCAGAGAGCTACACATAAAGCTTTAGAAATGAGGAATGCAAACATGGACAAGTTTTTTAAAAGACCCCTGGGTTTCTTTATTTGCAAAATGAGCTAAGAACTTTCATGGCTGGGGATTTCTTGAGGATTAAGTGAGAGGATGTGTACTGAAAATTTGTATCCCAACACCTGGCCCAGGGTCAGCCCCTGGTGAGTGGCAGTTCTTATTATGGAAATTGGATAAGACCAATTAGTGGAAGCTGGGCTCTGGCCAGAGGACCAACATTCATCCAGGCAGGGCAGGGATCTGGAAAACCCCAGCAGGGGTTGGTAGGAGGAAGTCTGGGAATGCAGGTGTACTGAAGTCATCTCACCACAGACTCATGACTGATATCCACACAAGAATGAAGAAACAAGGATTCAGCCACAGAGATTAAATTTTGGGGGCAGAAAAAAATGAGAAAAAAAGAAAACTGAGGGTTTAAGAGGAGAGGAGATACTATGGCAGGGCCTGGGCATAGCTGGCCAGGAATTCATGAGACTTGGGATCAAGACTGATTTCATAGTCTTCCACCAGCTGTTCTCCTTACTTCTTTGATTTGGGAGCTGAGCCACACTTAGAACCTGCAGGTGTTGACTAGAGGAATTGGCATGCTGGGACATTCCAGGCCAAGCTAGTGACTCATCTCGTGGGTGATATAGCGTAGCCACTGGTAGATATAAATACATGGGGTGGTGAGTGGTGGTAGGAAAGAACCAAGGAAGCTGGAGACCACTTCCCAACTTTAGACCATAAGGTGCTTGTCTTATACTGGAGTCATGAATCAGGTATAAGTCTTGGTGGAAGCAGTAGTCTTCGGAAAATCCATGCACATAGAGTGTTGATAGAGTTATGTGAGAATCTGGGTCTCTCTAAGTCCTGTCTTCCCCCTTGGAGTAATTTTTGAGGAATGCTGACCTCATCTCTTTCACAGTCATAGTGAGCTCAGAGAGAAAAATTCTGAGATCAAAATACCTTCTCGTGAGTTTATTTCTCTGTGATAACCCACATCTTGCTCCCTGGGGGTTTGGAGAAGATAACCATATCCCAAGAATCTCCCAGGATGAGATGTAGGGTCCTGTCTTCATTTAATTGTTACAGTGGGAGTAGGGGAGCAGTGGAGACCAGGCCTGTAGAACCTGTTATCCCTGCTGGCATTTAAGGGGTGCAGAGTGGGTGAGAAAAGGTCAGGGCTTCCTGTAGTGAAGGAGGCCTGTGGTTACCAGGCCAGGGAGGTTGGTGACCACCTCAGCATTGCGTGCAGCTTCTTGGCTCACAGCACAGTCTCAGCAGCAAGTCTGACATTCTGCTTCTTGACGGAGAGTGGCCACTGCCCATCCTTAATGTCAGTAAATGTCATATCAGAAGCAGGGCATCAGAGAACTAGAGTTCTTTCTTCTCAGGACTTACAAGGATCAAATGTCTGGCAGTTTCTCTGAAGGCTAATAGCTGCCTCGTTGCCAAGATGAATTAGGGCCTTATTAGTCACAAACAATACTTATTTCCATCACTGTGCACAAGGGGGCCTGGGGCCTGGGTTGCCTATCGTGAGATGGAACCATGTTTGATAAGGACCTCCTAACTATTTACAGATTTAGTTGGTAATGGTCAGTGTTCCTAGAAGGATTTCCACGGTTTGGTGTTTCCCAAACATCAGTGCTCAGTAGTATAATCTGGGTGTGTCTTAGAAATTCAGATTCCTGGCTTGCTACTGTGATGATTCTGATTCAGTCAGTCTGAGAGATCTCTGGGAGTCTTTTAATAAGCTCCCAGGTAATGTTGGTACAGGTGAGTCATGAATCACACTATGAAGAATATGGGTATTGTGGGATGGGTCCTGGGCTGAGACTCAGGAGAATGGAGTTCTGGCCTTTGATTGTCCCCCAGTGTGGTGTACAGTCTTGTGCAAGTCACTTCCCATCTCTGGGCCTGTTTTCCCTATGAAACAGGGAGAGAGTCTCAACCCAAGTTGCACAATAGTCACAATAGTAGCTGATAAGGAGCTTTGACAAAATGCTGCTACTTGAGCTAGAGTGTACCAGGCTAGCATGGTATGTCAACACATTGGGGTGATGACTTTGCCTGTGGATGCATGTTTAAAGAGTTTCTAGATGATTCTAGTTACTGCTGAAGTTGGTGATGCACAGTGTTCCTTCTTGTTCTGGAATTCTGAACATGTGCAGCACTGTATTACCTATGCCTTGTTTCTTCATTAATCCCTGACGTGAGGGGAAGAGTTTTCTACATGAACAATTTCCAAATAACTGAAGAGTAGTCCGTTAAACACCAAGACTTTCCTCCTTCTTTGATTTTTCTTATTATACAAACATCAAAATCTTTCTAATGATTTACAGTTACCACTATGGTCATTCTTTTGTACATTTACTCAATAAGTATGCATTTGTCATCCACTGTGTTAAGTTCTAATGAAAAATATTATAGTGTCATGGAAAGATGGTTGGATCATGGGTCAGTAATCATAAAAATGATAACTAACATTTAAACGTTTATCAAGTGCCTACTCTATGGTAGGCACTGTTCTAAACACTATCTCATTTAATTATCATAACCATCCTCTGAGGCAGGTACAGTTATATCCCCATTTTGCAGATGGGGAAGCCAAGGCACAGAGAGATTCTGTACTTTCTCAAGGTCTCACAGTTGGTTTAGGCAGATCCAGATCACAGCTGGTTTGGAACGAGGTCACAGCTGGTTTAGATAGATCCAGATCACAGCTGGTTTAGGCAGATCTCCCTGTGTGATCTGAAATAATGTTGTTCACCCACCAGAGCTTCAATGTCCTCCTGTGCTGAATGACTCTGGGTCTCTTTGAGCCCTCATACCTTATGAGTCCATGTTCATCCCCAGGTCCCTCAGGAGGTCCCTCACCTGCATCAAGGAGAGCCTGCGTATCTTCACTGACCTGGGGGAGAGAGACAAGGCTGCTGAGGCCTGGCTTGGGGCTGGGCGACTCCACTACCTCATGCAGGAAGATGAACTGGTGGAGCTGTACCTGCAGGTGGGTCTCCAGCAGAGCTTATCTGCTGGCCTGGACCATGGGAGTGGGGGCAGCTGTACCCTCCAAAGTGGTGAGCTGGAACTAGGGAGAGGTGATGTTCTTGTCAAGCTCTTAGGGGGACAGTCAACTCTGGGTTGCTCCCTGGACTAAAGATGGAAGCCAGGGCAGTCTGATAGACTGAAAACAAGCAGCTGTGGGCCAGTCCCTGAGTTCCATATGCATGTGTGAGCTCTCAACATGATGGGAGACTTGCTCATCTGTCTTGGCAGTTTTATCCATCTTTCTAAATCTCAACACACAGCTTGACTTCAGGTAGGTAAGGAAGGTTGATGTTTGCAGTGTATTAACATTATTATTTTCTTATGATTTTTTTTTGTTTGTACACCTTTAACATCTGTAGTATATCATAGTATAGATTAAGTACCTCCGCTTTAAAGGAAGATGGACCTGGAATCAAATCACAGGGCCATTGATAATGAACTGTGTGACTTATCTGAGCTCTCTGAGCCTCAGTTTCTTCATGAGGGGATCTGTCTTTAGTAAATATTAAGTATAACATTTGCATAGTAAACACATGTACTTAAACATTTACTAAGTACATGGGAATTGGTAAATGCTTAATAAATGGTATTTCATCATCATCACTGTCTGCACAATACTGACATTATGATGGTAGATAAGAAGATGTACTCTATCAAAAATATGCCTTTTAATCTTCACTTCCTTCCCATTTTTCATTTTCTTCCCCTTTATCCAACTCCCTTACTCTATTACTTATTCTCACACAAATTTGCTTCCACTGAGTCTTAATAATGATTGTATAACATGTTTGAAGTCTTACTTTGCATGGGAGACTTTGTTAAACAGTTCACATGCACGATGTTGTTTCATCCTCATTACAAATGCGGCAGGAGTTTCTATTGAAATTTACATTTTACAGACAGTACTCGGTGAGGCTGAGTAACTTGCCTAAAGTGATACATCTAGTAAGTGGTTAAAACTGCTCTCCAGCAGTATGACTTCAAAAGTTTTTTCTTTCAGACTCTATTCTCTAGCCTTGGGATTTTAGAGGTGGAAGAATTATCAGAGAACAGACAATTTGGTCTTGTCTTTCTCTCTCCAGGAGACAAAGGCCCAGAGGGGGCTATTGGGGTTGTTCATTGCTTGGTAGTAGAACTCCTGACTCCAGGATTTCATCTCACTGCCTCTATTTTTGTGTATCTGTATATGCAGTAAAAAATAACTGAGGGACCTTGGCCCTGTAATTCACAGACCAGAATTGGTCCGAGGCACCCCTAACCCTAGACTGCCACCTGACTTGATGTTCCGAAGTCTTTCCCATTGAGGTAAATCATTCTCTACCTAAGGATCTTTGAGATACAGTAGTTGTGCTGCAGGTGTGGTACATGCTTCTCTTCTATGTCTTCATCACATTTTGTTTAGGTGCAAAATTAAATAGCTTGTTCGAGATAAAGAGATCATAGGGGCCAGGAGAAAGGTAATGGGATCAAAGGCACTAGCATTTGTTTGCCACTAACTATTGATGTAAACTTGAAAACTCCTTATTCTGAGCCTGTTTCTCCATCTGGAAACTGTATGTGTTGGATGAAATCACTTTTTCCAAACTTCAGTCATTTATATATCAGGTTTATGGTTTTGCCATATCCACTACCTCTGTACCATTATTTATTTATTTTTCTTTGACTCAACTTCATATTAGCTTAACTTTTTACATTAAACAGTGCTATCTAAAATCAGAGATTTTGATGTATTATTTTTTTAATTTTTAAAATTTTTAATTGGAGGATAATTGCTTTACAATATTGTGTTGGTTTCTGCTGTACAACAATGTGAATCAGCTGTAATACATATATCCCCTCCCTCTTAAGCCTGCCTCCAACCACGTTCCCCATTCCACCCATCTAGGTTGTTATGGAACACTGAGCTGAGCTCCCTGTGTTGTACAAATTTCCCTCTAGCTATCTATTGATGTATTATTAATATTTTTTCTCTAAACACATTAAAATAAATATTCAACTATTAGAAGATGTTTGTGCTGCTGAAAACCATTTCTAGGGCTTTCAAAATAAACTCATCATCTCATCAAATGATCTCATCTCCATGTCATCAAAGGGGAAATGCAGAACTAGGGAATTCTGAAGGCTTCTTACCAGCCTTATGAGTACGGAAGACAATTTAAGGTTCTGGGGACTTAACAGAGGGTTAAGCTAGATGGTCAGGATGTCCTTCTTGCCAGGCCTGTGGACATTCCGAAGTGCTTCTCTCCACCTTTGACAGCAGTCTCTGTCCCACCCAGACAGCCATCCAGAAAGCCCTGAAGTCAGAGGAGCCCTCCTTGGCTCTCAAGCTCTATGAGGAAGCGGGTGATGTGTTCTTCAATGGGACTCGCCACAGGCATCGTGCAGTGGAGTATTACCGAGTGAGTCATGGGCTACATGGTCAGCAGTATCTCCAGCCAGGCTGTGGCACAAATGTAGGCAGGTTCACTTGGACTTTGGCCTGGGACCCCATTCCCCTCTCTTGATGGTATTTCTTTGCCTGCCCACAAGCTCTCCCTCTCTTAAGTCCAGCAGGCTCTCAAAGAAGGAGCTGATAAACTCTATCACTTTTGGGCTTGATAAATAGAGGATTCTTCCTGAGAGAACATACCATAATAATTACAACTTTTAGGTGCATGGTACTTTACAGTTTGTAGCACGTCTTTGTTGACCAGAATGTTTCTATATACATGGCATGGTGGGAGATGATTGGTCTATGGATCAACACTTTTGCTTTACTATGTTTTATTATGTATTAAAATATACTTTTAAAATTAAAAATGTATAATACCAGTTCATAAAACTCATGATTTCACAGATATTATTGCAAAGAATGAGACAAGAAAATAAAAGACAGTTAATTTAAGAAATAATATTAATTAAATAAATGTCCATATGTTAAGTAGATATGTAAAAAACCATAATTGCTCATTACAGACTGAAGTTTGGTAAACTCTGTTATCTTATTTGATCCTAAAATTTCACTTATTCCAATACTTACTCATTTGCTTGTTCAATTGTTTATTCAGTCATCAAACATTCATCAAGCCAGCAATATGTGCCAGGCTCTGTGCTAGGAGCGAATGAAAGACATGTCTCTGATTTTTGAGGTTCTCCTGATCATATACATTTTATAGATGAGAAACCTGAGGCTCAGAGAGATGAAGTGACCTGCCCAACATTCATAATAAAAATAATAGAAATGACTATTTCCTGGGGACTCTCAGACACTATGCACATACTACATGTATGTACTTCGTAGATTAGCACTGTGGGTGCGAAGGGAGTGCATAACTGGAAGGTGACTAATTTCCCATGTGGCCTTGAGGAAAGTTGTCTTCTCTTCCCTGCTCTCAGTTTCAGGGTAGCCTGATGACCCTCTAGTTCCTCTACCTCTGAGGGCTGGGGAGAGCAACCAAGAGCAAGGATCAGGAGAGAGAGCTGAGAAAAGCCATGCAAGGGAAGTGCCATCTCCCCCTGGGCTTCAGTCACTGCCATCCCTCCGTCCCTGGTAGTAAGATATAATATAACCTCCTAGAACATGGTATATGTTAATGATTCTCGGCTAGACTAAGTTTCCTTGTGCCTCTGTTCTCAGAATGGGGCTGTTCCCTTAGCAAGGAGGATGAAGGCAGTGAGAACCGAGCTCCGGATTTTCAACAAGTTGGCAGAGCTGCAGATCAGCCTGGAAGGCTATGAGAAGGCTTTGGAATTTGCTACCTTGGCAGCCAGACTCAGCACAGTTGCAGGTAGGTGGTCCTAATTGTCTGGGGTACTGAATGGGAAGGGGTGACACTCCCTGAGGGGCAACAAAGATGTAAGAGCATACCCTTGGAGTCAGACTCCATAGGTTCAAACTTTAGGTCAAAGTGTCAAGGAGCCCCCAGGTAAGCAAGTTACCTAATTTAATATCTATAAGCCTCAAGTTTGTCATTGGCAAATCAGGATTAAAAATGACATCCACAGCATGCAGTTGTTATGAAGACCAATGATAATCCAGCTGAAACCCACAGCACAGTGCTTGTTTTATATAATAAGTCCTTGATAAGTGTTGTTTGTGCACACTATTATAGTTAGTATCGTTGGTATTATTTTGAGTCCAGGGTAAATGGTATTTTATCCTATGCACATATGGTATCCTATCCTATCCTATACACTAATGGCCTATTACAAAAGCACTGTGCCTTAACTTTTTAATTAGTTGATTATTAGTCAGGTGCGTATTTTCATATGGTATTGAAATGTAAATGAAAGTCAGATTCCCATTAACCTAACTCACTCAGTAGCTGAAATAGCTTGCATTTACAACAAAAGCTGATGAGAAACAATGTAAGTCACTAAAACAGAAAAAAAAAATGCAAAATATAAAAAGATAAACTCATCTCAAATATTGGTGCTTGAGGAAAACCAGGTTTTATTAAAGGATGCTTGATTAGATGTAAGGGCAAATGGAGTCTTCTGTGATGATTCTAGAAGGGACTTCTGGGCATTCTCAAGGGCATGAGATGTGGATGGTACTGGACTTTATTGTGTTTAATTGCACTTCAGAGTTCTCTCTTCTTTTCCTAGCTCTTCCTTTACTGCAGAAAACCTTATTTGTGCAACTGTCTGCTGGTCTTAGGAAGACCTTGAGGGCCCAGGCAGCTCCCTCTGGAACATTTTTATCCTTCCTTGGATGGAAGCTGAAAGGAGAATATATTCACCCTTTCATGCGATTCCACATCACTGGATATTTCCATATCAGAGAGTTGGATTCTTCTCTTTTAGCTTTGGCTTTTGGCTTTTTGAAGCTTAAAAGTGATGTTTTTAGATTACATCAAACAGCCACCTTGTAAATATTCCAAAGTTACAATTGGAAGCCTTTGTTCTCTTTTAAAGTCTGTTCTGTGTTAAAGGAGTTAGTTATTGAAACAATAAATCCACCAAAGGCAAAACCAGTCATAGACCCATTAGACCCCAAGATTCTAAAGCATAAGTTAAAAGTGAAAGGGTCTCTAAATTGTACAGAATGAATGAGTGAACTAATGATGCAAGGTGTTGGCGGTAGGATATCTCTCTCAGTCTTCCAATTTCTAGAAGATCAGCGGCAGGAGCTGGTGGCCTTCCACCGTCTGGCCACTGTGTACTATTCCCTGCACATGTATGAGATGGCTGAGGACTGCTACCTGAAGACTCTGTCCCTCTGTCCACCCTGGCTACAGACCCCCAAGGAGGCCTTATACTATGCCAAGGTGTATTATCGTCTGGGCCAACTCACCTTCTACCAGCTGAAGGTAAGAAACAGGCTTGCGAGGCTGTCTGAGAGCTGCTGTCCACTTATATTCTTCCCTGACCCTGAGCCTTCAGGGTAAAGTAGAGAGGGGTAAACTGGGGAGTGTTGTCTCATAGGGTGGGGAGTGGCTCCTCTGGGAACACAATGACAGTCTCCACTTAGCCCCCCTTGGAGAGCTCAAAGAGGCTCCCATCTCTGCTAAGGAGACATGTTCCTCTCTTTCCTTGCCCTGCTGGGATTTCTGGGCCCATTTCATTTATCAGATACTATGGGGACATGTTCTAGTGCCTGTGAGCTCCTCCAGGGCCTGTGAAAATATATGAGACCTAAACAATACACGAGACCCCCAAACAAAAGAACTATAAGCTTCAAAATTAAAATTAATTCCTAACTGTACGTCTGAAAAATGTTATAGATGAACTAGTCAGTTGCAACTCAGTTCTTAAGAAGTTTTATAAATGATATTTTAGATGAAATCTAGGTACATATTGACATGTTTGAGATAATAACATGCAGGGTCTTAGATTATAAGCATGCCTAGGTCCTGAGAAGATCTTAGCCCTGATCTCCTGTTTGCTTTTCTGGAGTTGAATCCAGAACTTCTTATTTTTCCAGTGACTTCTATTAATAGAACTATGTGTGTGGTCTATAATTCTCAGTTGCATTCTGGCCGTCGAACTTAGTCCCTAGACATTGACTTCCCTTACTAGATGTCTCTCTCTGCTTCAGCAGAATCCTTACTCTTTTCACACAGAAACAGTGGCTTCTGTTTGCAGACCCTTAGGGCAGCTCTGCTGTCCTTTTCTTATTTGCCAGAGTGTTTCTGGTTTGAATTTATTATTGCCCTATGAGGGTTAATGAGAACCAGACATATCTTTTTGAGTCTCACCAGAAGAACCATATTTTCTGCATCCCAACCATGTAGGGAGGGACGATGGGGTAGTGAAGAACTCCCCTCAGCAATCTTGCCTTTGATCCACAGCTCCCAGGAAGTAGGACAAAGTGTGTATGATTTGATTTCATCAACCAAGGACTCTAGGCATTGCAAGGGAAAGAGCTCAACTCAAACTAGCTTAAGCAAATAAGGAGATTTATTGGCTCAAGGAACTGGGAAATTCAGGTATAAGTTTAATTTCAGGTAGTGCTGGAAGCTGGTAGCCAGAAGCCATCATGGATCTGAGAGAGAGGTGGGGAACCTCTCTCTGTATTTCTTGGCTTAGAATGTTTCTACTTCTCTCTGTTACTTGGCCTTTTCTCCTTCTATTATTCGCAGCTTCAAGCCCCCATCTAAAAGGGTGAGGGACCATTTTCTCTCTTAGGTCACACTTGAAACGTCCCAGGGAGTGACTTGGGACAAGTCAGCTTGAGTCATATTCTTATACCTAAAGCTCTGTGCCCAGGGTGATGCTGCTTCATGATTGTCTGTGTCTGGGTAAGACGCCATCCCTGTGCCTGGGGAGGAGGGTCACCGGGGTTAGCAACATCACAGAGCTGACGTGGACTTGGTGAGGGAACTCCCCCAAGGAACCAGGAGAAAGAGGTGGGAAAGGATGTCAAACAAGCAAAAGCTAGTTTTCTTAGATTTCCTGGCATTGCCTCCAAGCCTCTCCTGGAAATGTCTGCTAATGCTGTCTCTTTTCTGCCCCCATGCTGGGGGTTAGGATGCCCACGATGCCACCGAGTACTTCTGGCTGGCCCTGGCGGCTGCGGTCCTGCTTGGTGACGAGGAGCTGCAGGACGTCATTAGGACCAGGCTGGACAACATCTGCCAGAGCCCCCTGTGGCACAGCTGTCCCTCTGGGCGCTCCTCAGAGAGGGCACGCTGGCTGAGTGGTGGGGGCCTGTTCCTCTGAGGACAGCTGCCCCATCTCCGACCAGTTGCCATTGTCAGAAGCTACCTCTCTTCTTAGCCTCTTAGACACTAATCTGGGGAGTTCAAGCCATGACCTGGCCCATCGTCTCATCTCAGAATGGGAAGAGCACAGTCCAGAGGGAGAGGGCTCATCTCAGTCACACAAGGAATGGATGGTGGACCAGGGATTAGGGTCCTGACTTTGTGTCTAGAGCCTTTCCAGTAGACTGTGGCCCTTCCACACATGCAGCCCCTGAGATGTACTTTCTAGACACACAGTTCTAGAGAAAATGAGAATTTTTGCCCCTAGGAAAGCTGTCCACTTCCCTCAGTGAAGAAATCAGGCACTGCACTGGAGAGAAGGCAAGCAGATTGGACTTTGTTCCCTTTACTGACTTTTCTCAGGGAAAGACCCCTCCCCTTGCTAGCAGTGAAACTAGTCATTTCTTTCTTCTCTTTCTTCAGCCAGTTGAGGTGCTACTCCTCCTGTCACGAGGACTGGTGGGTGAGAATTCACCATGCTCTTAGTGCAAAAGAAAGCCTCAGAATGGCCAGGTGGAGTGCACAGAGGGTGAGGTCTGATGTGAGGTCTGATGTGGATGCACCATCCCCATCCTGCCTTGAGGCTCTTCTCCCCCACAACCTCCCTAAAACCCAAGGGAAGCCTCTCCAGGGTCATGGCTTAAAAATTGAGCACTAAGAACATTATGACGTAAATTACGTGTAAACAGTGTGTATTATTAAATATTGCTCATCTATGTTTATCACACATTTGTCTCCTTAATAATAAGGAAGATGAGATGAGGGGCTTGAAGGATAGGTTAAATACCAAGGGGTCATATCGACTCCAGGGTTGCTCATGTACAAAGCATCTCTATTATCTATCATTGCATAACACATCTAGTGACTTGGAACATTGATTATTTCATAGCTTCTGTGAGAAGGCAGGAATCCAAACTTGACTTTTCTGGGTCCTCTGGCTCAGAGTAGCTCACAGGGCTTCCATCAAGGCATCAACTACACCTGTAGTCTTCTCAGGCTCAGCTAGGGAAGGATATGTTTCCAAACGCACTCACATTGCTATTAGTAGGAGTTAGTGCTTTGCTTGCTGTTGGCCAGAGGCTACCCACAGGTTCTTGCCTTGTGGGCCTTGCCATCAGGCAGCTCATAGCATGGCAGCCTCTTCATCAGCGAGCATGTGAGAATAAGAGCAAGGGTGAGAGTGGGTAGTCACTGTCTTCTCATAACTAGTCTCAGAGGTGGCATCCAACTAGTTTTGCATATTTTGTTCATTATATGTGAATCACTATGTCCAGCCCACACAAAAGGGAAGGATTTACCAAGGATATGGATTCCAGAAGGTGGGGAGTCAGTTGGGGCTACCACAGTGTCTTGAGTTCTTTGATGACAGAATCAGGAATTCTAAGGCAGTGAGCTCCAAGTATGGCCCACTGACTGGACAAGCAACCTCAGTGTCACCCGTGAGATCGTGTGAAGTGTGAATTTCAGGGCTCTACCTAAGACATCTGAAGCACAGTCTCTGGGGCCAAGGAGCCCTGGCTTTACCCTGTTTTCGAGGTGATTCTAATGCACACTAAAGCTTGAGAAGCAAAGCTCTGGAACCATGGTTCTTAGAGAATGTGAAAAGAAGTTACCCGAGAAACTTGCAGAAAACTTGTAGAAAAACTTTCTGGTTCTTACTCCAATAATTTTGATTCAGTAGGTCTGGGAGATACCCCAGGAACATGGATTTTTAATGAGCATCTGAAATACCCCAGATGTTGGTGGTTCACTATTGTTCTGAAATGTGGGAACATGCAAGATCTAGCTACAGGTCTCACCATCTGATCACAGACAGCTTAGATTTACTGTAAGATGCTCTGCCCTTTCTTTCTAGCTTCTTGGGGCTACTGGATGATTGGTGGTGTGGAGGGGTAGGATAGAGGTGGTGAGTTGAGTCAGCAGTGCATCTTCTAGTCAGGAATATTGTGCACATATTCGTACATCTTATTTTCTCTTAGGAGCTTGATTGGTTGTTAAAATGCTCTCTACTCGAGTATTCTTCTTCAGGAAGGAAATGAAGTGACCTAGTCCACTACCATGTAAGACAGATGTGGTTTTGCACCCACCACAAACCATAAAATCCCCCAAGGGAGGGATGTTGAAGTTGAGTCTAACCTCCCATACAGAAGCCTTTCAACAACATTCCTGGGAGGCGCATGCATTCCAGAATGGTTACGAATCTTGTATTTGAAGAAGACTTGGTTGGCTCTGGGATCCAAGCCATGAACCATTCCCCACTTGTCTCAGGTTACAGACCCTCTCCTTTCCCCCTTTTCCCCACTGACCTATTACTCTCCTCTGGCCAGATGCCAATTCCTGTCCCTTTGATAGTGTGGTTCTTATAACTGGTATTGGCTGGTGGGTAGAGAGTACTGAGGGTCATTACTGGACTTCCCCTGCTTCTTCAGTTGTGTCCAACTCTTTGCAACCCCATGGGTTGTAGCCATCCCCACCCCCGCCTCAGGTTCATCTGTCCATGGGATTATCCAGGCAAGAATACTGGAGTGGGTTGCCATTTCCTTCTCCAGGGGATCTTCCTGACCTAGAGGTCGAACTCGGGTCTCGTGCATTGCAGGCAGACTCTTTACTATCTGAGCCACCACAGAATCCCATTACTGTACTTAATGTGGTTTAATATCGTATTTTAACATTGCATTAAGATTTTTATTCTCCCCAACAGCTACATCTTATCATTGGCTCACATTGAGTTTATCATTTGCGGTCTCTGCTCATCTGAGTTTCTGTTTGGCCAAGTATTTTTCAGTTGTTACAAATATATATATCTGTATACATAAATACATACACATATATACACATAAATACCTACACACATGGGCTTCTCAGGTGGCTCAATGGTAAAGAATCTGCCTGCAATGCATGAGACATGAGTTCAGCCCCTGGGTTGGGAAGATCCCCTGGAGAAGAAAATGGCAACCCCCTCTAGTATTCTTGCCAAGGAAATCCCATGGACGGAGAAACCTGGTGGATTACAGCCCATGGGGTTGCAAAAGAATAGGACACGACTTAGCGACTAAACAGCAACAACATCCCCCCCCCCCCACACACACATATATTTAAGTGAAGAGCGTTATAGCTACCTACCCATTTTACACTTCACTGAGAAATTTGGTTAGACTTTTCTGATTCTGCATACTTTTAAAAATTGAATTATAGTTGATTTACAATGTTGTGTTAATTTCTGCTGTGCAGGAAAGTGATTCAGTTATACACACACACACAAATATATATTCTTTTAAAAATTCCTTTCCATTATGATTTATCACAGGATATTGAACATACTGTGCTATTCCCTGTGCTGCACAGTAGGACCTTGCTGTTTATTCATTCTATATGTAATGGTTTGCATCTCCTAACCCCAAACTCTCAACCCATCCCTCCCCTGACCCCCTTCCTCTTGGTAAATCCAAGAGTGTTCTCTATGTCTGTGAGTCTGTTTTTGTTTCCTAGATAGGTTCATTTCTGCCATATATTAGATTCAACATATAAGTGATATCATATAGTATTTGTCTTTCTGACTTACTTCACCTAGTATGATAAGTATGATTTACTTCACTTAGTATAATAAGTATGATCATCTCCAGGTCCATCCATGTTGCTGCAAATGGCGTTATTTCATTTGTGTGGTTTTTTTTTTTTATGGCTGAATAGTATTCTATTGTGTATACATACCACATCTTTTTTTCCATTCATCTGTTGATGGACATTTTTTCCTAGTTTTGGCTACTGTGAATAGTGCTGCTATGTTGTATGGGTGCATTTATCTTTTTAACTTGTGATTTTGTCTGGATATATGCTCAAGAATGGGATTGCTGAATCATATGGCAACTCTATTTTTAGTTTTTTGAGAAACCTCCATACTGTTTTCCATGGTGGCTGCACCAACTTACATTCATACTAATAGTGTAGAAGGGTTCCCTTTTCTCCACACCCTATCCACTATTTGTTATTTGTAAACATTTTAATGATGGCCATTCTGACCGATATGAGGTGGTACCTCATTGTAGTTTTGATTTGCATTTCTCCCATAATTAGCAATGATGGGCATCTTTTCATGTGCCTGTTGGTCATCTGTCTGTCTTCTTTGGGAAAATGTCTGTTTAGATTTTCTGCCCATTTTTCACTTGGGTTGTTTGTTTTTTATGTTGTTGAGTTGTATGAGCTGTTTGTATATTTTGGAAATTGAGCTCTTGTCAGTCACAGCATTTGCAAATATTTTCTCCCAGTCTACAGGTTGTCTTTTTGTTTTATTTATGGTTTCCTTTGCTGTACGAAAGGTTGTCAATTTGATTAGGTCCCATTTGCCTATATTTGTTTTTATTTCTTTGGGAGATGGACCTGAGAAAACATTGGTACGATTTATGTCAGAGAATGTTTTGCCTGTATTTTCTTCTAGGAGTTTTATGGTATCACATCTTACATTTAAGTCTTTAAATCATTTTGAGTTTATTTTTGTGTGTGGTGTGAGAGTATGTTCTAACTTCACTGATTTCTGTGAGGCTGTCCAACTTTCCCAGCACCACTTACTGGAGAAACTGTATTTTTTCTACTGTATATTCTTGCCTCCTTTGTCAAAGATTAATTGACCGTAGGTGTGTGGTTTTATTTCTGGGCTCTCTATTCTGTTCCATTGATCCAAATGTCTGTTTTTGTGCCAATGCCACTGTTTCAATTACTGTAGCTTTGAAGTATTGTCTGAAGACTGTGAGGGTTATGCCTCCTGCTTTTGTTCTTTTTCCCCAGGATTGCTTTGGCAATTCTGTCTTTTATGGTTCCATATAAATTTTAGGATTGTTTGTTCTAGTTCTGTG